AAGCACCTCTAGTGGCCATCTGAGGAGTGGCCACTGGAGGTGTCCCTAGGGGGCAATGTAAACACAGCCTTATAAAAACCTTTGTACACATAACATATACAGGTAAAAGCAGGCTCAGTTTTGCAGAAACTGTTGTCTGTTCAACATGTTTCTTTAGCAAATAAACTTTATCAACATTTAATAAAGGGAATCCTTTAAACAAAATGAATCCGCTGGACAGAATTTCTTGAAATACTGCCTCTGTTTGCTTGTATTAATTGCTGTCCATTGTTACGCACAGAATAATTTTTATTAGCTGTTACTTGGCACAATATACGTGTTGAATTTTGCGATTATCATGGCATACTTTTTTCATTTCAGCTAAACCATGTAAAAAAAATAATACATTTAGAAAATATAACACCTTAATAGCAATGGCAATAGTATTGACAAATCTTACCGCCTACAGCCCCTAACAAATGATTGAAAATATTATAAGGGTGCCCAGAGTTGCTGTGAGTACGGAGATAGGACGTATCGATGCACATCTACCAAGCAATATATATTAGGGTAATTAGAAGAAGTAGATAAACCATTTGCTTGTATTTATCTGCTTGTTATTCACAAGGTGTGGGAACTCCTTGTAGGTGGACTGCTGCTATTTGTAATAAGAGAACACTATACACATTATTTTTTTGTACTAATTAGAAGTGGCAGAGTGAACAGTTAGACCTTTATATTTACTCTAAAGGAATTATGGTTCATAGGATTCCCTTAAATCAGGGGTTCTCAACGTTAGTCCTCTGGACCCCCTACCAGTCCAGGGTTTAGGGATTACCTGGGTGTGTCTAAGGTGTTTAGAAAAAAAAACAATTTAGAGTCTAAGGTGTTTTTTTCCCTTTTTCTAAACACCTGAGACACACCCAGGTAATCCCCAAATCCTGGACTGGTAGGGGGTCCTGAGGACTGGGTTGAGAACCCCTGCCTTAAATGGACACGGTAGCCACCCAGACCATTTCAGCTCATTGAAGTAGTCTGGGTGCAATGTCCCATGTCCCTTAACCCTAGAGTGGTAATTAGTGCAGTTTCTGAGAAATTGCAATAATTACCTCTGAGGGTTAGCTCCACTTCTAGTGGCTGTCTACTAGACAGCCACTAGGGGGACTTCCTGAATTGAAACAAACCTTTGGTCCGGTATTTGACGCTGGATGTCCTCACGCTCTGCATGATGACTTCTAGCGTCAGATTTTTCCCCATAGGAAACCATTGAATAATGCTTTCCTATGGGGAAATCCTAATGAACGCACAGCCATTGTGGCTGAGGTTGGCGGTAGAGGAGTGTGGACGGAGCCTGATCCAGTGTCGAGGGACATCGGCGATAGATTCAGATAAGTTTTAACCCCTTCAGTGCTGCGAGGGGGCCGGCATGAGAAAGGGGGGCACTGTAGGATTCTATAGTGCCAGGAAAACGGCTTTGTTTTCCTGGCACTATAGAATCCTATTAATGCTAGAGATATTACCATGTCATCATCACATAGCAATAAAAAATGGGGCAAAAGCAACACAAGGCTCTTTGCCATGTATATTAATTTGTCACCCCCTGCACACAGTGGAGCTTAACTAGGGGGACTCCTTCCTGTTCTTATTGTACCTGTCACACATAGGGTTGAGGTAAGGAGAAAGATCACTCTGCAGACAGCATGTTCTTTATGGCACTGGCTTTGAGATTCAGAGGACTGTACATTAATTAACCAGTTGTGTTCTTATCGACAACAAATCTTTTTATGCTGGTGGGGTGGTTTCCCCCTGGAAACAGACAATTTTTCATGCATTCCAGTACAACTCCTTTGGGAGTCTTTCTTGGTCCCCAAAACACAGAGCATGAAGCATTAATTTTCCTATAAATGGAAACTGTAAAACAACAGCTGTAGGCAAAGTATGACTTTACAGCTGTTGTTGCTCTTTAACAGTCATTAAGCACATCCAGTAAAATGCAGACACTTATAGGGATTAAACCAAAAATCGTCATGTAGTCCCTGGGATCCTAATTCAGAACGTATGTTTTAAGAACCGACTTTTTACTTATTGGTGTCATAGCATTAGTTTTACATTTCCAAATCCTAATGCCTTTTAAACATATCTGGTTATTTTGCACATTACTGAGTGGCCTAAGTAGGTTAATCAGACCTTATTATCAATATAGTATAGTTTAAGGATAAACTGTTACTTCCCAGGATATTTGACATATCCACTGTATTTAACAAATATGTATTTGTGAAAAATAAATTCTAAATAAAAAAATCAACCTCTTTATCCTGCAACTGGCTGCCCCCATCTTGGCTAGCTGCCAATCATCATCATCATATAAACTGTATCCTTTGCACCTGGCAGTCAGAAAACAGAAAGCAGATATGGAAAACAAGAAAAGAAACAATGTTTCTATTTCTCCTGATTTGCAATATGTGCCTTGATGTGCCAGGAAAGTACTGGACTGTGTTGTCATTTATTTGCTAAATCCTTTATATAATTTTAAATGGAAAAAAAAATAGAGGAGGAGCTCTATCAAACAAAAACAAGTGCTATGGTGGGTCACAGTGCAAAATTATGAACTATTACTGTGGAAATAGAGTGTATCTCAACATTTAGCATTTGCTCCCACTTGATTTACTTGATACATTTTCCCCCATAATATAGTTTTTATGGTATAGTTTCCACATTGCTGCCAGTTATGGACAGAGTTTCAGAACTGGCAAGGAAAAATAAAATATCCAGGCACTCAAGGTGTTCAAGCCACAGGTAGATTTAGTGGTACAAAACAAAGCAGCAATGTTTCGACCTGCTGATAGGTCTTTATCAAGCCCTCTTAGCAGGTTGAAACTTGCTGTTTTGTTTTGTACCTTTGTCGCTGTGGGATTGCTGTCTCTATCTCCCACGAGACGTGGTGTGCGCGCCGCGCGGAGCATTGCCATGGTAACCCATGGCAACGCTATAACGCCCGCACGTCTCGCGGGAGTTAGAGTCAGAGAAATGCTGTAAAGTGCTCCTGGGCCCCCTCTGCAAATACAGGGAGCCGGGGGCCCTCGGCTGCACATATATATAGTGATGATCGCTATAAATATGTGCAGAGAGTAATTGTGGGGCCCTGGACTGCCCAAAGCAGTCCGGGCCCCCCAGAACTCCCGGGCTCGTGACAACCGTCATGGTTGTCACCCCCTGATGGCGGCCCTGCTCCACATTGCGAGTACCCCAAAGAGTTTGGACTGCTGATGATTAATGCAAATACCCAAAGATCTTTACTGTTACGCCTGTAAAACACAGTAAAAGACTATATTGAAAAAAATAAAATAATAATAGACGTATTTAAATAAAAAATAAGCATACTTCAAATATCCCGCTAGGAATATTATAACATCCAAGCTGTGTCTATAGCCAAGTTGCAGAATTTTTGCCAATCAGCAACTTTTCAAATACATTTTTCAGTTTGCTACAATTAAGTGTTAGCGAATAAATCCTTATGTTTAATGTAAATTGAAACAATGATATTTTGCCTGTTCTGCTTTTTAATTTGGTTTCCAAAGTGTATATGAAACCTTACAGTATATTAGATTTTTTTTATTACATTTTACTTTTACCTTTACTTAAGTGTAAGATTGTAACTTATTGATGTGATCTAAGACACAAGACCATTTGGTAACGGTTTGACATCTTTCTTGTGGTCAGCCTCCACGGCAGCCTCCTCTCAGCCAATGAACATGGCAGAACTATGAAAGAATGGAAACTCCTACAAGGTACGTCTGGCTCTCATTTCCCGCTGAGAGGAGGCAGAGTGTAGCACCTGGAAACCCCAGGTAAGAAGTCAAACGGCTACTAAATTATTTGACTACTTACATTTAAAGAACACTTAATACACTCTGTTCTGGACTCATAGAGCCCCCGGGTTATAATTTATTATTGGCATCATTTTTACCGGTTTTAAGGACTGGATTTATTTTATACAGTTTTTTATTCCTATTTTTGGAGAAATAAAGTTCTTTTTGTGGAAAATAACACCCAGCCTGTGCAGTCTTACTTCTACTCATCTGGAAAAGCTATAAAGTCATTTGGAAAAAGGATGGGGACATCCTTAAGAAAAAGTCCCACTGTGCTATCCATGAGAGCCATATGCTGCGATTTGGCTCCAGGCTTGTGAGTACCTGACTCCACATCAGTTCACATATTATTGGTATAGGCAATATTACGCTATATTATTTTATATCTTTTATAGATACATCAAGACGTGTTATCCACCTATTTTATTGTATGTATTTAAAGAACACTGTCTAACACTATAGTTTTAATCTATCTATTTTGATGTCCCCCTCGCTGTGTGAGGGTTTGAAAGGTGAGTATTACTTACCTTTGAAAACTCGCTGCTCTTCACAATGCTGCTCTGCTTTTTGGATTAAATTATCAACGTTGATGATCTTAGTCAACCCATTTTTGGAAGGCTAGTGCCAGTTTAACTCGGCTATTGAGGTGGAAGAGTCTCTGGTGGTTCTCAAACAGATAGCCATTAGAGGCATGTTAACCCTGCAATGTATATAACGGTAATGTAGGTTTAAAAGACAGGGGCATGGCACCCAACCTACAGAGTACCTTTAAGGGTTTACTAGGTCTCTTTGGCATCATAACCACTTGTACATTGAGAAGCACTATGTTTAATACATCTAATAATGAAGTATTGGATAGTGGATTGCAGCTCTTGCCGCGCATGCACAGAATGTCTGCACTGCTTCTTTATAAAAAACATTGGATTGGACATAGATCATAATGCTTGATGATCTCACCATCAGTGGATCAGGCTGCGAAGAGTAGTCCAGGCCCTTGCACTAAATTACAGGTACGGTACATTTAACTCTCTTTTGATTTTTTTGTAACTTTTGTTTTTTAGGGATATGTATCACTTGACAATAATTTTTAAACCAGCAAGCAAACACTTTTAAACACATTTACAAATTAAATAAGGCAAAAGAAACCTTGAAAAATATGTAATAAATGTTTATAAACCTGGTCAGATTACATTATTGGACATGTCTCTTAGCTGGGAGAGTTTCTTCAGCTTCCCCCACCTCCCTATTACCCATCCATCTTAGTTTCAGGCTATTCCACTAATGACAGAACCTGACACCGGAGCCTGATCTGGGTGTACCGCACTGTTCAGACTCCCTCACTTCTCTCGTCTCAGAATGTTGCAAAGTGAATAGATCTTTCAATTGTGCATGTGTAAATCCACCAGGCATGCCCAGTGATCTTTTTTCAGCATTCCTAGGGAGGAGAACACCGATTGGTTAGATCAGTGTCCCCCCTTGAGTGGGTGTGAAAAGCATAAGAGAAAAGCAGGTAAGCATTATAAAATATCATATTTAACTGCCTTTTTCAACCTGCACAGTGAGGCAACTAACACATTCAAAGTTAAAGCTTTTGAATGAGACAGTTGTCTAAAAGAGATGCTTGACCGTTTAATAAAGACCGACCAATAACTTAAACCTACTAAGGCATATAACGGACATAAATAAAAAAAATATATATATATTTTTAGGATTAAAATGTTTTTTGTTTTTTTTAAGGGACACTATAGTAACCGGAACAACCACAGCATGATGTAGTTGTTATGGTGAGTATAGTCAGTCCCTGCAGGCTTTTTGTAGTATAATCTATTGGGAGGCTCATATTTAGATTTACATGTTATCAAATCCACTGGTTTTAAGAGCCTTGCAGAGTGTGAACACTATCTGCTGTTCAAAAAACAATAGCACTTCAGGGCTTGTAAATAAACAGATTTCAAGGATTGCTATTTACGGACTTACCTGTGTTTGAAAATTGTGAAAAATGCAATTATTTTCAAGAAAAGAACAATATATCTGTCCTAAAGTAAATTTTAGTGAACACCATTTGGTTCTTGTGTGTCAACACTCAAATTAATTTATAGCAGAAAAATGAAAAATGATTGATTTGGAGATCACAGAAAAGGAGATGGTCTGTAGGACATTTAATGAGAACAGACAGTGAGACATGGGCAAGATTTGACAGTGTAATGACCATAGAGATATACATTATATACACATAGGCCGCAGAAGGGCAGGCCAAAACCAGTGTAACACTATAAAGCCCACAATGGTCTGCCACCCCAAGGCATGCTGGAGAGCAGAATCAGTCAATGGGCTAATGGAAGTCATTCACACGGTTTCAGAAATAAAAAATAAAACAAATATTCAGAAATAAACTGCAAAAAAACAAAACAACACAAAAGTACACAAAAAAAACCCCACAAGTAGTTGGGAAAATCAGTGTAGGTCTGTAGTCCGTGATGCAGCGACGGTCATCCACCAATTAAGGCAATAGAGGGTCAAGGCGAGTACCCAGCAACAGATCCAAGTATGTGAACTTCCAATGTTAAAAAAAAAACAACAACAAAAAACGAGAAGAGATCCTGGGAAGCTGAAGCTCCTAGGATCATTGGATCATTAGGAGAAATCTCTTAAGGATCGAGTCTTTGCATTGTTTCTTCTTTTGTAACTTTGTGGCAAGTGCCAGTAGCAGTGTAAGCAGAAATCCACAGGCAGGAGATATGTAGACAGCTACGGAGCTCCAGGCCACGGATAAAAAGGATCGCTGTCTATGCAGAAGAAAGTCCTCCACCTCTACTTCTGCTTGCTAACACTAAGAAGACAAAGATCTAAGATGTAAACAGGAGTAGAGTGTCAAGTGAACAAATATAAAATAACCTCAATGTTTGAACTCTGACCTCTATTGATCGACTTCCTCCTGGGGAACCAATAAGGCCATGTTGTTCAGGTCGTTTGTCCGATTTTAACTCTGGTGCAAGCTCAGCCGAAGCAGGGTCTTGAGTTCTGTAGACAATGATAAAAAGAGAAAGAGAATAACTATAGAGAATGAACCAAGGCAAGGTATGGAACTCACAGAAAATTATTAATAGAACTTCACATAGCAGCACCACAGGCTGTAAATCTCTGCTACCTGAGATTGAGCGCCTGATAGAAAATCTCCTCAGATAGGACACTCAAAGAGAAAGCATCGAACTGCTGCAAAGTCAGCTAAGGTATACAATGTTGCAACTACCACTGCAAAGTAGGATAGGTTATTCCAAACTACTGTAAGTACTGCTAAATTGGAAATACTTCAAGGCACAGCAACTTATCCTAAACTACAGCAACTTCTGCACAGTAAGGTATGGTCAAAAAGAAACAAGCATCACATTTTGCGACATAAATGTTTATTGGTTATTACATTTTAAAGGATCACTATAGTGTCAGTAAAACAAACTCGTTTTCCTGACACTATATAATCCTTGGTGGACCCTCACCCTCAGGGTCCTCCTCCCACTGGACTGAAGGGGTTAAAACCCCTTCAAATACTTACCTTAATCCAGCGCCGGGCTCCCTCGGTGCTGGTGACCTCTCCTCCCCCGCCGACGTCAGCTCCCGAGTGGAGCGAAATGTGCATGCGCAGCAAGAGCCGCGCATGCATTCAAACAAGCATTTCTCAATGCTTTCCTATGGACATTTTGCACGTTGGATGCGAATTTAGCATCCAACGTCGCAGAAGACAGCCACTAGAGGCTGGATTAACCCTGTTTCTCTGAAACTGCTATGTTTACATGTGAAGGATTAAAACCTGAGGGACCTGGCACCCAGACCACTTCATTGAGCTGTATTTGTCTTGGTGACTATAGTGTCCCTTTAAACTGATTTATCATTAAAATGGGAGCTTTCAGATGGATGCACTCAAAATAAATAGAAGAAAAAAAAAACTAATACAAATATATCTATGTAGGTAAGATACATAAAGGTTGCAGTGTATTGTCTCACAAATTACTGAGGAGTTTAAATAACTAGCTATTTAAGGAAGCGCCACAGACACTATTTTTCCCCCATTTTTTTCCCTTTCCCTATACCTCCTGTAATTTAATGGTTGGACTTTATGTTTTCTGTTTTGCCTTTATATCTTTTCTTTCCTGTGCCAGATTTCAATAACTTGGTGCAGCCATTTTACATAGTTACATAGTTACAAAGCTGAAAAGAGACTTGCATCCATCAAGTTCAGCCTTCCTCACATATGTTGTTGCTGTTGATCCATAAGATCAACCTTCTGCTGTTCTCCTCTGCCCTAGACATCTGCTCTTTGCTCTACTGTGGGATTGATTCTACCGAGGATTGTGGGTAGATGTGATTGGCAACTCAAACAGAACTTTGTGTTTGGCCATTGTCAAGTGTAGTTAACTTTATTGCTATACATGAGGTAAAGTAGTCTCTACTTTTACTTATGTATTTTATGAAAGCTAGAATACTCAGAAAAAAAAAAGATGTTCAGACGCAGGGAGGCATATAAAAGCAGATTAGATAAATCTTACTTTTAGGGACAGGGCCGATTTAATAAATTACGTTGCCTGTATGCTGACACATATAGTAATGACAGTCAATTGATATTAGACTATTCACAAACTGTGTCAGGCTGTGGGCTTACCAAAACATGTATTTGTGGCGCTTACTCGAAATTCTCTTCCCTAGCAGCACCTGTTTCAGAATCCTGGTTGTTTAATATGGCATGTCTAATGAGTGCACAGAACCTTTCAGATTATATCTATCACTATTTAACTGCCAACAGCTTTCCAGACACATTTTTAGTAATGTGTTATTTATTTTATCTTTTATCCTAGGTTTAATTACATTACTGAAAATGTCTTAATGTTTTTAGACTATATGAGAATAGTGTCGCTGTTTACACAAAGTATACTTTTAATAAAGTCAGGTATTTGGGGCAAAGGGCACATACAGTCACTCTTGCAATTTAGGATTAACATTCTGTATAGTATAATGTTTTATTTTACCATATTTTGTATCTACCCATCACATTTCTTAGTTCAATGAGCCAACTAGTTTTTATGTGGCTGTTCTAACTGACTATTATAACTTTCTTGTCCCTTTTTGTACTTTTGGATTTTTTTTTTTATTGTTTTATACTGTACCAATATCTTTGTATATGTCTTATTTTTCTGAGACATGTTGAGTCCTTTTATGTGGTATATATAAATTCACTGATTAAGCTGCAAGAAACACTTTATTTACACTTTAAATAACCATATCATGTAATATGGATTATTGCTCCCTATCATTTTCAACTACTTTTGATGTTTTAGGTTTATCCTGGCCATCCAGTGACAGAGAGACAGGGACACTAATGAGGCTCAGAAACGATGTACAACATTATAGGATCAGATGTCTATTCATCTGTAATATAACTGGATTAGAGAAGGAGACTAATTCAGATAATACTGGAACAATTTAGAATAAAGCACCACTTAACCTTGAATAGAAATGAAAAACAGTAAACACAATGATACCATTTCTGGGAAAATTAACAATAACTATTGAATATAAAAAAAAATGCTTTATCTTCAATCAAAATAGTCTCCCCACCTAGCGTGGGAAAGGTGGTCGCTAAATGCAGAAGTCCTACTATTTGAAATGCCTAGAATTCGGTTTATGGGACATATGTTTGCCATTCTCATAAAACTAAAGTTTTTTTTACAGGTTTCGACATCTGGCGACGTAGAAGGGAAAGTACTATATCCCTGGCGCCAGCAACAGAGGTCTTTGTCAGATCTCTCTTGTGTACATAGGGTAATGGAATACACTGTCGCATTGCAGAATTCCATATTCTTCTAAATCACCAGATAAACATGTTATTGGAAGGGAGAAAGGCTCCTGATGTTTGGTTTCAGAAGTAAGTGCTCTCCTCATGAGCCCTACAGTTAGTCAGCAAAGGACACAGGAGAGTTGAAAACATTATTTTGAAAGAAAACTGCCATTTATGCTTAATGCTCCTGTCTTCTTGTTTTTTTTTGTTTTTTCTTAAATCACGTCTACAGCAACTTTATCTTCTAATTTCCCTATTTGTGACCCATTGCCCAGGTAAGCCCTGAGAAGTTCTTACAAGGACTTCTTCTCTGATCCTCCACATGTGAGTTTTCCTCTCTTCTGCAGGAAATAGAAAAGTGCAACAACGAGAAGGAGGAGGAGGACACATACAACAACTGCAATGATGGCCGTACTGCTTCCTCCGCTGCTCTGTTCTATAAAAGAGAAAATGCTTTCAGTTAAGTAAAGATGAGTACGGGACAAAGGAAAGGTGCAGTCAATGAACAGTAAAATGGAGAATTGCAATGCAATCCTATATACAAATTACATAAGACATATTCTCCTACATCTTAGACTACAGCAAGATCTTTTCGTAGCAACATAGATGAATGATGTGAAACTGTTGAGTCTCCAGAAGGTATAAGGAAAAAAGAGATGAGATGAAAAAAATCAATATTGATAACAAGCTCCAGGAAGTAATGCACTCAAATCAACACAATCATTAAGTTGGTCAAAATACAACACACAAATGTATATTTTTTTCTCAAAGAAAATAAAAATAGGAACACACATGGACATGTTCTATAAATCTATTTTAAGATTTAAAAATAAAATTTACTGGGTATTTAGTCTAAGCCATTGAGCAAACTGGCAACAATAAAGTTCTACTGAAAATATCACTATAGATAACGAGATAATCCAACCACCTAACATGTGTGGCATATCAAGATTAGACAGCATGATTATTGCACAGGTGTGCCTTAGGCTGGTCACAATAAAAGGCCACTCTAAAATGTCTAGTTTTACTGTATTGGATGGGTCCCAGACGGTCCACAAACCAGTCAGTATCTGGTGGGACCACCATTTGCCTCACACAGTGCAACACATCTCCTTCGCATAGAGTTGATCAAGTTGTCGATTGTGGCCTGTGAAATGTTGGTCCACTCCTCTTCAATGACTGTGCAAAGTTGCTGGAGATTGGCATTGGAACACGCTGTCGTGTACGCCGATCCAGAGCATCCCAAACATGCTCAATGGGTGACATGTCTGTGAGTATGCTGGCCATACAAGAACTGGGATGTTTTCAGCTTTCAGGAGTTGTGTACAGATCCTTGCAACATGGAGCAGTGCATTATCATGCTGCAACATGAGGTGATGGTCGTGGATGAATGGCACAACAATGAATGGGCCTCAGGATCTTTTCACCGTATCTCTTTGCATTCAAAATGCCATCAATAAAATGCACCTGTGTTCTTTGTCCATAACATACGCCTGCCAATACTATAATCTCACCGCCACCATGGGCCACTCAATCCACATTGTTGACATCAGCAAACCACTCACCCACACGACACCATACACGCTGTCGACATCTGCCCTGTATAGTGAAAACCAGGATTCCTCCATGAAGAGAACACCTCTCCAAAGTGCCAGATGCCATTGAATGTGAGCATTTGCCCACTCAAGTCGGTTACGATGACGAACTGTAGTCAGGTCGAGACCCCCAATGAGGATGACGAGCATGCAGATGAGCTTCCCTGAGACGATTTATGACAGTTTGTGCAGAAATTCTGGTTATGCAAACCAATTGTTGCAGCAGCTGTCCGGGTGGCTGGTCTCAGACAATCGTGGAGGTAATGATGCTGGATGTGGAGGTCCTGGGCTGGTGTGGATACATGTGGTCTGTGGCTGTGAGGCCGGTTGGATATACTGCCAAATTCTCTGAAACGCCTTTGGAGACGGAAATGAACATTCAATTCATGGGCGACAGCTCTGATGAATATTCCTGCAGTCAGCATGCCAACTGCACGCTCACTCAAAACTTGCAACATCTATGGCATTGTGATGTGTGATAAAACTACACATTTTAGAATGGCCTTTTATTGTGGCCAGCCTAAGGCACACCTTTGCAATGATCCCGCTGTCTAATCAGCATCTTGATATGCCACAGCTGTGAGGTGGATGGATTATCTTGGGAGAAGTGCTCACTAACACAGATTTAGACAGATTTGTGAACAATATTCGAGAGAAATAGGCCTTTTGTGTACATAGAAAAAGTCTTAGATCTTTGAATTCAGCTCATGAAAAATGGGGACAAAAACAAAAGTGTTGCGTTTATAATTTTGTTCATTGTATATACATGTACATAATAATCAGTTCTTATTCCAAAATATTCTAATTCACCTTGAGAAGGAGCAGAGCTGGTATCAATCACATTTCCTGTGTGAAATAGAAAAAAACATTAACATCAATAACTCACTTGGGAGAAGCATATAACCATCAGAAAAATAAAAATATTTTGCTCTATCACAATTAATAACCTCACAAACACTTACTGTTTAAAATATATTGTAATCCTGGGACTATTCAGTCATAATTATGGCATCACCCATGGTGCAATTCTTATAGCTATTTTTGTGTCTTCCCAACCACATCAAAGCCGCAGTATTCTTGAAGCCAGAGTACTTTCCCCCAAAATCAAACTTACCGATGTTAAGTGTGAAGTTTCTCTCATTGGATCCATGAACATTTTTTGCAACGCAGGAAACTCCTTTAGCTAGCTTGGAGGAGACCTTTACAGACACCTTACTCATCACATTCATGCCAGAAACTGACTGTGCACCCTGAAATAGAGAGAAGTTCCAATCATGAACAGAACATTGCGGAAACTACAATAAAATCTTGCACCCCTGTGAGCTTTGACAAAACCGGAAACTATTCCTTATTGGTCAAACCATTGTGATGGCACATGTAGAACCAACTGACCAGTAGCCACAAGACATCTAATAAAGGAAATTTAAGAAGACCGACAAAAAGAGAGAATTCCAAGCATTCAAGGTGTATAAAAACAGAGACCACTTGGTGACCACACAAATTAGACCAATGTAAAGTAGATGTTCACATCTTAATGCTTTCTTGATGTGGAGAACATTTGCCAACATGGTATGGTAGTGAACTAAGGAAGACATTTATGAAACTCGAAATTGCATTATTGCACTTTTTTTAGTCCATAAGACAGACTGGGACTACATCTTATTCCCAGCACCTTTGGGTCCACTCTTTTGATTGGAATTATACATGTGTTACTGTTTATTGTCCTTTGTTTTGTGTTTATTATTTCTCCCTTTTTGGATCTTTGTAAAAAATTTGAAACAAATAAAGAATCTTACATCAAAAACCTTACTGTCACTGCGGTGTCTACTAATAGGCTAATAGAAACAAAGCAGAGAAAGCCTTTATTTGCCACATAGCTAAGTGTCTGAACACTAGCATAAATAAAGAATGAGCCAATCATTTCACTGCAGGGGGGGCTAACAATTTCATTCCACGGAATTCTAGCGATGCTAAGCAAGCATTTGCACTTAATATAATGACAACCAGATACAGAGTGCTTAAAAATTTTAAGAATCACATGTACATTGAATCGGTTTATACTAAAAAATATAAAACTACCAATAGCCTTATTAATAAATACAATAAGTAACAAAATCTGTTTAAAACGCATAGATATTTCAGGAGCATGAAAAACAAATGTTCAATATCACTGACACAATGGCAAATTTAAAATGCTGGCATTGCTGCAGATTTGTTGCTATGTTGCTTAATTTTTAAGAAAGCAAATGATGCACCGAAAACAACTTTGTGCCAAAGCAAAACATTTAAAAACAGAGACATAGGGCAAAGTTAAGGGAGATGCTGGTTTAATATTAGAGTTAGAAGGGGGGTTAGGCAGTTTTTTTTGCCTTAGGAGTAGTTAAGGGGTCCAAAGTACCTTGAAGGCAGATAGCCCACAACCCTAAATTCTCCTTAACCTTCATGCTCAGAATTCTAATACTAAGTACCCCATCCCCTAAACACCCACTAACCATTAGACTCTAGCTTTCAATAATCACCCCTAAACCTACTGCACAGGGTACACTGTACACTAATGACTGTGTCCCCAGTGAATTTATTAAATACAAAAACATGATGTCACTGTAAGTATGGCAACTGACATTGCTTAATTTGCAAAATTAACATTTTTGAAGTAAATACTTTTAAAAACTTTAAAGATGAGAGCAAGTGCACGTCCCTCTAAACTTCACAGATACCAGCTGTACACTATTATCAGAATGCTACGGAGGTTTTGATAGATGTTCACCTTCAGTTCTGGGGGATTCCACATTATCTCGGGTAGAGGGTGTCCTACAGCAGAGCAAGTTAGGCTCAACGTGTCCCCTTCGGCAGCCACTTCAAACGTCTCAGTTCCAGGTTTCAGTTGTGGAATCCCTTGATGAAGCGAAAACATCATTCACTTTAATACGATAATTAAATGCATAATCCTCTTCTAGGAGAAGCATGATCTACTGGCAGAAGTTTACAATCATTGTCAATGTATCTACACCTTGGAATTTACTTGGGAATACTGCATTGTTGTCAAGAGAACTTGTGGTCATATGCCCACTCCCTTGCTTGCTTGCAAAATCCACGCATTCTACTGTACAAGGTCTCTTATTTTTTAATAACTTCTCTTTTAGGGAACTTGGTTATTCACAAAACAAAATAAACAACAGGTTTGGCTTAGGGTATTTATTCAAATGTACTATTTAAAGTGTGTATAAACTGTCATGATTAAATCATGTAAATTAAAACGTGCTTAGTTATATTATAATCTGTCTCTTACAAAATGGTTTCTCCCATAGGTGAGAATGTTATTGAGTGCTTACTGTAGGCTCTGTGGGATGCCAAATGCCACACTAATAGGGGGAGATTCAAACACTTGTTGTTTTACTTGTTCATTTTGCCAAGGAACTGATATCGTCAAACAACGTAAATAGACACCATTTTTCCATGCAGTGTTAAATTGTTTTTAATGTTTTATTTTTACATGATATTACCCAGAAGCCCACACCAAATGGGCTAATGAAAGACATTTCAGCCTATCACAGTACCTATTCAGAGATGACTAAAAGGAAGAGTGTAATCTCTTCCCTAGCCACACTTCAGTGTGGTCAAGGTTGTGAGTGACCAGGAGACCCTCAATGTAAAACTGTAAATGGTTTAGCACTAAATGAAGAGACAGTGCCAGGGGACTCCAGGCACTTTAACAATGAGATCACCCCATGCAGTAAATCTCACCTTCTACAGTGATAGTGATGTCCTTCTCTTTGGTCAATCCAGGTATATTACTTGAAACAGCTTCACATGTGTAAACCCCTGACTGGGAGTATGAGATGTTGCGTATCTTGTATCTGCTGCCTTCAAAAACAATAGCACCATCCTGTAACAGAAGAGGTGATGTATGCTTCATGTATGTTACAACGTGTGACATATCGAACAGTGAGTGAAGTCAAGGCATGCTGATTAATGGGGATTAGGGACGAACATAAAAATTAGAGAGTGGATTATGTTTTCTCTTATTTAATTTTTTACCTTTTTCCAGCGAAGTTGAGGTGTCACAGTACCATCTCCTCTACAAGTCAGCTGAAGGTCAGCTCCAAGATTTACCATTGTGTCCTCTTTAGGGAGCAGAGACGGGGTGTCAACATCTGTTTGTGTCAGCGGTAATGAAAAGCAAAGAGAAGGAAAGTGTGATTGATAATATATACACACATTCCTTATTTAGCGCAATATGTCAAAACATTACAATACACAATCAATGCTATTTATTGGCAGCATGCCAATTTCAGTACTAATAGCCATGTTATGACTTGCATATAAAGAAAGAAATGGGGAAGAAGATAACACAAACTCTAAGACCAAAAGTATAAAGACATGTCTCAGCAAATATGTAATTCCTAAATAATGAGCATTAATTTGGAGTTGGCACATCCTTTCATTGTTCTGGGAAGGCTTTTCACTAGATGTCAGAAGATTGCTACAGGTATTTGCATCCATGTACCCACTACTCCACTTGCCTATGTCAGTGAGCTTCACACCACCCCAGCTCATGTTTTGATGCTGCTTACAGAGGCAGAGTGGAATATTAGGGAAACTATTTTTGAATGCAGTAGCATACTTGGTCACATTCTGTGAGCCTCAGTGGTGAACCACTTGATGGCCGTGTTGATGTTTCTTATAGACATTTTCACTTATATATTAGTGACTGGCACTAAAAATTTGAGGAGTAATGTGTGGATTGGACAGGACAACGAGAGAACAAAAAAAATTAAAGGTCAGAGTTTTTAAAAAGTATGGCATTCTTCAGGATATAAAGTAGAAAGTTTAATAGGACCTAATACCCTAACAATGCCTAGGTTATGGAGAAATGGTGCACTCATGGAATTGGATAGGAGTACTAGATAAAGACAACAAGTGAGAAAGGTGAAGAAGACTGCATGGGATCAACCTAAAATATGGCTTTTCCAAGTCAGAGGCTTCACATAATATGTAGAGCCACATAGGAAAGTGGAATTGAAATCTTAAAGTGGATGCCCTCTCCCATTTATGGCACTCACAATTCACAACCAAATCAAGCTCTTGAGTGAGTACAACTTCAGGTGGTGAGTCGAAGTCCATAGCCTGGCAACTGTAAGATCCAGTATACTCTCTAGACACATTTAAGACTTTCAGTACACCCTCTACACCAGAATAAATCTCCATCTCATTGTCATCCTGTAAAAAAGAAAGATATTGTTACCGGAGGTGAAAGAAATACTTTTTTAAAGGTAATGGTGATAGAAATACTTTTTTAAGGGGCATTGTTGGAAAGAGAGGAACAAATGAAAGATGGATAAAACCTAGAGAAATAGGTGTATAAGGTTCAGTACCTTCAGCTTGGAAATTATGTATGAAGGTGGAGGATGTCCATCTCCTGCACATCGAAATATAAGGTCATCTCCTTCTTTAATTGGCAGTGGAGACAATATTTCAAACTTTACATTCTCTGTGTAATCTAAAGAAGAAAAAAAATTAGCAAGTGAAACAGGAGGAATAACAAACATCAATATTAAAAGTTCTTGAAATATAGAGGATACATTTAGTTGTATATTACTGGAATAGTTAGCACAGCAATTCTTAACCCATGGTTGGCACCCAAAATGTTATTGGGTCCCTTCAGGTTGGACCAGGTAAATACCCACAATATATTTTTTAATGTAGCAGCAACGTCTTTCCCAAGGGAGTCCTCTGGCACTTTAGCAAGCCTAATTGAGGTGTGTTTAATAATTAATTCTAGTAAACACACTATTACTATTGCCGGATGGGTCGCCAAGATAATCCTTTGTACCTAATGTGAGTCTCTGTCAAAGGAAGTCAAGGAGCACTGGGTTAGTGACTGAGGAAAAGCAAAAGAGATCTAGCACGATTGGCTCACTCACAGTGCAAAGTCAAATTGAATTCCTGTGACTCCATACGTCTCACACCACCTCCTGGTATAGGATACACAACTTTACAGGAAAAAACTGCATCTGTGTCCATTTTGGTAGGTCTCAAAAATAGAGTGCTGGAGACCGTAAGCAATCCTGAAGATTCCGTTATTGTGCGGGATGACATGTATAGGTCTGCATACAAAGAAACATCAGAGATTAGCTTCACGTACAATAGGGCACTCATTATTTTAACATACATACTTCTTTTACTGTCTATTAAGCCTCCTAGTGGCGCATACAGATGTCTTCTTTTTTTGTTGTGTTATGGTTTCTCTCACCACTGCTTGCTAATCTCCTCATTTAAGCATATTAAAATGTGTTACAATATGTCTCTGTTCCCATTTGCCCATTTTTCACATACCTGGGTTCTTTTCAGTCGGTGGGGTTAGCAGCTGATGATTTTTGTACCATTCAATAGTTGGAGCTGGATATGCATTCCGACTGATGCAAGTTCCGATCTTTGAGAGAGCAAGAAATAGGAACAAATCAGACAAGCGGCAAAAGGTCAGCGTTGTAAACAAAGAGAGACGGGGAAAGAGAGAGGAAGCAAGGGAGAATGCAAAAGAGCGAAGACAGGAGAACTGATTTAACAGAAAAAAAAGAGACATCTAGTTACCTCAGATGCAATAGATTCAGTGACTGACAATATCCCTAAGTTTAAAGAGAGTTCAGGGGTTTCTGGGGAATCTGAAACAAAGAAAGAAAAATAAAAAAATAAAAATTCCAATATCACATTCGGCCATTATTAGGAATTTTAAACCATTTTAAAAGGAGGTTATTTAAGAATTTCTATCAGCTCTCTTGGTAGTAGTTCTTAAATTTTTTAGGCTGTTTGGATTGGCTTTAAACAATGTTTTCCGTAAAATATAAAAGAAAAAAAAATCAATAAAATACATACATGTGACACTTACAAAATTTGATTGAATCGGAAATCTTTTAAATGCGTGCTTGCAAAGTTCTACTTGATTTTGTTTTTAAATATCATATAATGGGAAAGATTTATCACAGTGTTCTTTTGTAAAATGTGATGCTAAAATATGAATGGGAAGGGAATGTATCTGTTTGTTCTACTGGTTACCATGGTGATTGCCCTACTTTTAGTACTTGAGACCACTTTTTAGAACAAAAGACACAGGATAGCAGTATTTGTATTTCTAAAAATGTATCTTATTATCCGTTTGAATAACTTCAAGAAAGCAAAAATAACTGGGCAAAACGTTAACAACTAATCTTAAACTTGTTAGTACAAAACAAATGCATCAAGTATGAATAATCTAATAATAAATAATTTAGCACACCATGCACATAAAATTTGTTTGGTAACGTTATGTCCTGAGATTTGGAAGTATAAATAAACATATGAGGTTTATTAACCCAATGGAGATTGGATGTCCAAATTCAACTGTTTCAACATAAAGTTGACAACGCAAAACCCATTTGGTTATTCACAAAAAAACTAATTTGGTTATTTCAGCAGTTTTGACACTGTAATTCAGCAGTAGTAAAATGAACCAAAGCTCTTTAAACATTTGTTAAATCAGCTGTTCCCGAATCAATAAACTCAAACCAAATCCACTAAACTAGTTTGATCCATTTCCACAGATAAAGACCAGTGCAGACCACCTGTAGCCATCAGCCCACCAAACCCTGAGTCAGGATAACAATAACCCAATAATTTTATTCCATATTGATAACTCAATCCCAAATGTGCCCAACCCTACCTTCACAATAGTGATATATTTTCTTTTTTCTAATTCCATTTGGTTGTTTTTTTGGTTATTATTTAGTTACAATATGGCTGCCATTCACTTCCATTTGCAAACAGCAGGAGAACCCTGACTTAAAGGATCACTATAGTGTCAGGAAAACAAAGCGGTTTTCCTGACACTATAGTGCCCTGAGGGTGCCACCCTCAAGGTCCCCCTCCCATAGCGCTGAAGAGGTTAAAACCCCTTCAGCCACTTACCTTAATCCAGCGCCAGGCTCCCTCGGCGCTAGTGACCTCTCCTCCTCGTCCGACGTCAGATCCCCCGTCCGACGTCACTGGAGCCGAATGCGCATGCGCGGCAAGTGCCATGCGCGCATTTAACGTGTCCATAGGAAAGCATTTCTCAATGCTTTCCTTTGGATGCTCTGCGCTATGGAGGCGAGGAAGACAGCCACTAGAGGCAGGATTAACCCCAAATGTAAACATAGCAGTTTCTCTGAAACTGTTATGTTTACATGTGAAGGGTGAAAACCTGAGGGACCTGGCACCCAGACCACTTCATTGAGCTCAAGTGGTCTGGGTGACTATAGTGTCCCTGTAAGGGAATTAAGTTGAAGCTCTTACCATCCCTACACTGTCACATTCACTAACTGCTGATTTTACAGCGCCTCTGCCAAGTAATGCTTAAAGCAGCATTGTAATTTTGCAGATTTTGTTGTTAAGTAACTGCTTTTTGTCACTCAATTTTAATTTTTTTTCTTTATTTTTTTTAACTCGTCTTTTTTTTTTTTCTTGCTTTAGAAAATATAACGTCTACTTTTTCCTCTGGGGATCGCGATCTTTGGAAATCTTTGTCAGTGGACAGCACTTAGGTAAAAGTTAAATTTCAGTCACTAAGCTAATGTACCCACAAGCCATTAGGCAAAATAATCCCACAGAAGGGTAAACTGCAGACATGTTGGATAGATGAGAACAAAATGGCTGCACCCAGGAAATGAGATTAGGCACAAAGTAGAAAAGTATAAAAAAAATATATAAATAAAGGCACGTGTAATCACTGATATACAATATGTACAAGGAAAGGAGAGCTGTAAGAAAAAAAAAACAAGACTGTGCCACTTTAACCAACTTTAAGTATGCTCCCAAAAGGTTGATTAAATTATCAAGAGAGAGCAGGAGAATCTAAAATTGAAGTGTTTCCAAGCTCGCTCACCATAAACCTTTAGTGCGGCTTTGGCTTCCTTGGTCCCTTCATTCACGGCGTTGACTCTGCAGAGGAATTGTTTTTCGTCACTCAGACGGACACCTTTAATCTCCAGTGTTAAATCACTTTTAACTTTAGCTCTGTCACTGTACTCGGTGTCAGGATCGGTCACTTGGCGTCCGTCGCCAAAGAACGTGATGCGTCGGAGATCATCATTCTCATCTAACTGGGTGGGTTAAGACAGGGGAAAAAGTTCACTCAGAAACAGAAGATTATGCTGGGAAGCCCTATGCATTTAAATACCACATTTCTCATTGCCAATAATACCTATAGGAGAATCATCTAATTTGGCACATTATCAACATGGAGGAGCTTGGCATAGATATCCATAAATCACAGAAAAACAGTGTTATTTTCATATAACAAAGCTTGCCAAGTTGTTGCACCTCTGTAATATAGCACATTATCTAATGTAGACCTACATTGAAAAATACCAATTCTAAAGAAATTTAGTTATCCCTTTTATCAACCAATTTAACAAAATTCTACAGGGTTATTCACTATAGTGTGAATTCTGAGTGAATTCAATGTAAACGTAAAATTCATGGTCAAAATAACTGGACTGGAAAAAAAGTGAGCCATGCTTTCAGTTTGATTACTCTGGCCTTAAAACCTGAAATTCACTTTGAATTCCCACTTTAGTAAATAACCCTGCTAGTCTTAACAGGCTTGCTTCACTTTTAATGCAAAATATATATTGCTTGGCATGAGGACGTCCAGTGTCTTCTAAATCCCAATAGAAAAGCTTTGATTCAATACTTTCCATTGGGGAGAGCATTAGGTTCCCCCTCACGATATAGTCCAAGAGACCTTGTCGCTGGAATAAGGTGAGTTTGTTATATAACCCTTTGATCGATGCGGGAGGGGTTGGGGGGCAGCGGGACACTATAGTGTTAAGAATACAGCTTTGTATTCCTAACATTATAGCGTTCCTTTAAATAAAGCATACACATATTGGTCTTCCTACAAAAGCATTGCCATAGAGATGCAAATATGTGACTATGTGTCATGTTGGTAATTGTCAGCTGCTTCATCTGCTATAAGTGAGGGTGATGGGTGCTGTGAGTAAGTGACGTAGGTGCAGTATGGGTGCAGTTTTAGTAAATATGGCACATATTTGTCTTTCATTGTATGCTGGCTCCTCCTGCTTAAATGTGTCTTATTCTATAGTATAAAATAAACAAAGCTTTTCACTAAAGTGTGGATTATCGGGAAGTCAAGTAAATTCATTGTGAATTTAACATTTTAGGTCAAAATAGATGAGTTGGTGATATGGAGAATTTTTCCAATTCATCTATTTTCACTATAAATGTGAAAATTGCTTTGAATTCCCAAATAAATCACAATATAGTAAAGCATGGCAGCATTTTTGATCGCAAAGAAATTATAGTGACTGAAGAACGCTGCCTGGATCCATGGTCTGCCTTAAAACTGCAGCAAACTAAATCAGACAAGAGCAACAAAGTATATATTAATGAAAGGTACTATAACAACTTCATCTCACCTAAGTGTTTTTTGTGCCTGGAGTCACCTAGTGCCATAAACCCATTAAGTATTAAACCATGGTTTATAGTGATTAAAGGTCCAGGTTGTCTACAGCCCTACCCCTACTGGAGGTATTGAAAAGAAGACAGACATATATTTTCACCATTCTAAGTGCACTGCATAAATAACTTCTATATATAAAAAAATCAAAACAAAAAGATTTCAGTAAGGCTTGCATTATATATAATAAGCAATACAAAGAGTGACACAGACTTGCCAATACTTACAACAAACCACTCAGAGGTGTACTTGGGGGATCCACTAAAAGTAGGTTTGCAATGGATTATTGCATTTTTCCCAATTTCAACTTCAACAACAGGTGGAACTTCAACACTGAATGAACACAGACAACCTGCAAAATAAAATAAAAGAAGGCACAGTAGAAAGTAGCCAAGTAACAGTACAAACTGTAAGATAAAACAAGGGGGTGGTACTGGTCTATAAACTCCCTGTAACAGTGCAAACGTTTTGATTAAAATATTGCTCTCTTTATGAAAAAAAAAAGAAAAGAGTTTTTGTCTCCCATATATTGTCTTAAATTATCTGCAATAATCTTATGTCTGATAAATAGATGCATGGGAGCTTTATGTAACTGTTGTGTGATAAATGTCAGAATACATTGTCTATGTCCTCCATGGGGAAATTAATTCACGTGTCCCGCAATAAAGAAATGAGTACAGCATCATTTGTGAGCAGAGGGAGCCTGTAAATTCAATATGGTAACTCGTAACAATGAGAAAAAAAATACCAAAACGCCAGGCAGACAAGGCTCTTAAAAAATAACTTGCCAGAGCAAGGCCTCGACCTAATATAGTTGGATAGAAACATAGAAACATAGAATGTGACGGCAGATAAGAACCATTCGGCCCATCTAGTCTGCCCAATTTTCTACATACTTTCATTAGTCCCTGGCCTTATCTTATAGTTAGGATAGCCTTATGCCTATCCCACGCATGCTTAAACTCTTTCACTGTGTTAACCTCTACCACTTCAGCTGGAAGGCTATTCCATGCATCCACTACCCTCTCAGTAAAGTAATACTTCCTGATGTTATTTTTAAACCTTTGCCACTCTAATTTAAGACTGTGTCCTCTTGTTGTGGTAGTTTTTCTTCTTTTAAATATAGCCTTCTCCTTTACTGTGTTGATTCCATTTATGTATCTAAATGTTTATATCCTATCCCCCCTGTCTCATCTTTCCTCCAAGCTATACATGTTAAGTTCCTTTAACCTTTCCTTGTAAGTTTTATCCTGCAATCCATAAGATTTTCAAATGATTTGATATTTTAAAATTATTTAATATTATGAATAATGTTTTCATACTTTTTTTAAAATATATTTTCTTATGTATGATATAAATTTTTAAAGATATATATATATATATATATATATATATATATATATACACTGCTCAAAAAAATAAAGGGAACACTTAAACAACACAATGTAACTCCAAGTCAATCACACTTCTGTGAAATCAAACTGTCCACTTAGGAAGCAACACTGAGTGACAATCAATTTGACATGCTGTTGTGCAAATGGGATAGACAACAGGTGGAAATTATAGGCAATTAGAAAGACCCCCCCAATAAAGGAGTGGTTCTGCAGGTGGTGACCACAGACCACTTCTCAGTTCCTATGCTTCCTGGCTGATGTTTTGGTTACTTTTGAATGCTGGCGGTGCTTTCACTCTAGTGGCAGCATGAGACGGAGTCTACAACCCACACAAGTGGCTCAGGTAGTGCAGCTCATCCAGGATGGCACATCAATGTGAGCTGTGGTAAGAAGGTTTACTGTGTCTGTCAGCGTACTGTCCAGAGCATGGAGGCGCTACCAGGAGACAGGCCAGTACATCAGGAGACGTCGAGGAGGCCGTAGGAGGACAACAACCCAGCAGCAGGACCGCTACCTCCGCCTTTGTGCAAGGAGGTACAGGAGGAGCCCTGCAAAATGACCTCCAGCAGGCCACAAATGTGCAAGTCTGTTCTAACGGTCAGAAACAGACTCCATGAGGGTGGTATGAGGGCCCGACGTCCACACGTGGGGGTTGTGCTTACAGCCCAACACCGTGCAGGACGTTTGACATTTGCCAGAGAACACCAAGATTGGCAAATTCGCCACTGGCGCCCTGTGCTCTTCACAGATGAAAGCAGGTTCACACTGAGCACATGTGACAGACGTGACAGAGTCTGGAGATGTCGTGGAGAACGTTCTGCTGCCTGCAACATCCTCCAGGATGACCAGTTTGGCAGTGGGTCAGTAATGGTGTGGGGTGGCATTTCTTTGGGGTGCCCTACATGTGCCCGCCATAGGTAGCCTGACTGCCATTAGGTACCGAGATGAGATCCTCAGACTCCTTGTGAGACCATATGCTGGTGCGGATGGCCCTGGGTTCCTCCTAATGCAAGACAATGCTATACCTCATGTGGCTGAAGTGTGTCAGCAGTTCCTGCAAGACGAAGGCATTGATGCTATGGACTGGCCCGCCCGTTCCCCAGACCTGAATCCAATTGAGCACATCTGGGACATCATGTCTCGCTCCATAAACCAACGTCACTTTGCACCACAGACTGTCCAGGAGTTGGCAGATGCTTTAGTCCAGGTCTGGGAGGAGATCCCGCAGGAGACCATCCGCCACCTCATCAGGAGCATGCACAGGCATTGTAGGTAGGTCATACAGGCACATGGAGGCCACACACACTACTGAGCCTCATTTTGACTTGTTTTAAGGACATTACATCAAAGTTGGATCAGCCTGTAGTGTGTTTTTCCACTTTAATTTTCAGTGTGACTCCAAATCCAGACCACCATGGGCTGAAAAGTTTTATTTCCATTTTTAAATTTTTGAGTGATTTTGTTGTGAGCACATTCAACTATATAAAGAACAAAGTATTACAGAAGAATATTTAATTTATTCAGATTTAGGATGTGTTATTTTTGTGTTCCCTTTATTTTTTTGAGAAGTGTATATATAATTTATATTTAATATGATAAAAAAATATATATTTTAAACTTACATCTAAAAATAGTATTGCTTCAGACCTGAGGAAGAGAGCTTGTCTTTAAATTGCATACTACAATACTCTGGTACTTTGGCAAAAATATTAAATTATTTTGCAAGGTTATCCAACGGTACTTTATATCAAGACCCAAGTTACAATGAGTTCTGTAGATGTTCCCCTTCCCTGGTCCCTATAAACCAATAGCTTAACTATTAAATGTGTCTTTCTGTCTCCCAAACGTAAAGAAGGTTTAAAAACCCCTGTACTAGTTCACACTAAGTCTGAAGAACATCCTCCCATACACACACACACAATGCTAAAGAGGTCTACTAAGATGCTAATGATTCCAGAAACAGTCATAATGTCAACATGAGCAAAAAGCAAGCAACAAGAGAATGGCAAACAAAGGTAATTAATGTTATAATGACGAGTGACAGTCGGCAACAGTCGAGAATATAAAGCATCCAAAAATGTGCCAAGTGAGAACAGTCACAGTCAAAAGAAGCAATAGGCAGCGAGATATTAACAGCTGGTTTACTAGAAGATTGAAGAATTATGGAGAATACATTTGATATATAGAGCAATATGAGAAGCTATAGGGAGAGCGACATAGAGTAGTTATAGACAGCAGTAATAGATGGAGGTTTAGAGATGAACGGGAGGAGGTGAAGTTATAACTTACAATATTAGAAGCAGTACACAATCTGTCATGTGAGCCAAAATGAAGAACATTCAAAATAAAAGATTTAAAGACTTAATAGGACCTATAGATACCGAACAGGGGGGTTCTATGGGGCAGTTTACAGGCAGTAAGCACAGGACAGTTTATTGGAAGAAGAACCTGAGAGTTATAGTAGGTAATTAAACAAAGAGATACATGTGGGATTAGAAGAAATTGCATGTAGCAAAATAAAGCAGCCATGTAAAGCAATTATATAAAAATTCAATATATAAAAATACATCTCTAACCGGAATCATTGGAACTTTCCCGACATAAACTGATCAGAATTGCAATTATGATCATTGGTTCTAAATAGAACTATTTGCATGTTCCATGTAAACACCATAGCATACAGATCAAGCCAGCATCCATCTCAACTGTCCCTATTTAGGAGGGGCAGTTCCTATTTTGGGCCCAAATCCCTCTGTTCCTCTTTTCTATCCTCATGTCCCTCTTTTGAAGGAGTTTATTATTCTTGGTGTTTCTGAATTTATACCTGAGCTCCACAGCAATAATATTCACTGTACTTTTATATATGTGTTAAATACGATACATTGTTTATGTTCTAAATGATATTTTAGCTGCATAAACTGTTACTAGTAAGCCACCTAAAATTTCCGAGAGTCCCTGACCACACTCAAACTCACATCTCTAGTGTCCCACTTTGTCCCTCTGAAATGTTGGGAACTATGCTCTAGGATTTCCTACTGGTATCTACTGAAATGGAAAATGGACATAGACAATGTGTATGCCCATACACTGTGCGTACAACCACAACCACATACCAAGCAAATTATCAAAAACTTGTTAAACTAGACTGAGTGCAATCAAGTTTGATTTTTTACTTTTCAGTTTGTTCCTTATATTTAAAGCTATTCTACGAAATCTGTCATGCATAATCAAATAAATGCAATAAGCACAGTCATGGCAGATCCACTTAGCACCCACACACACAGTCACCCTGTCACACTCAACCCCCCCCCCCACGCTAACCCAAAACACACAGTCACTTGTCACAGTCACACTGCCACAGTCAATCTGTCACCTGCCGCAGTCACCCTGATACATGCACAGTCACCCTCATACACAGGCACCCTCCCATTCATACTCATACAGTCACACCTCATGCACACAAAACAGCTTCACCATTAACAAATCACACACATCAAGACCACAATTAACCCCTATACACACAACCAGGCCCTCCAACAGTCCCAATTTCAGGATCCTATCTGATTAATTCCATGGCATTCCACATTAATTCCCTAGCTTCTCACATCTGGAGACACCAAGGAACTGTCTTTGGGCAGCAAAGCACTTGACACTAGGACCTGGCAAAGAGAGATTTTGCAGAGCTCTCCTCAAAATCCTAAAGGCTGGAGGTTGGCCAGACAGGTTCCTTCAACGAGTGGACCTGCCCATTTTGTGGGTGGACCCAGGGCCGGACTGGCCCACTGGGATACTGCAGCACTTGGGGCCGGGTAGAGACTGAAGGGCACTATTAACTGTAACTAATACCATTTGTTAAGTTTTCCCTCTGACTGTGAGAGTAAGAGGGAATTATGGAGGGATGAGCTTGGTGCCAGTGGGGCCGGAGGGAGCATTGCAAGGAGGGAGCTTTCTGGCACTCAAGCTCTGCCCCCGGTCACAAGCTCCGCCCCGGACCGCAAGCTTTGCCCCCCCGGTTGCAAGCTAGTTACCTCAGGGCAGGAAGAGGCCAGGGAATGGAGTCCTCACCTCCCGAGGCTTCCACAGCAGCAGCCTACAGTGCCAGGAATGCTTCAAATACACAGCAGATAGTGAGTGAGAGTGAACTATTGTGTGTGTGTGCCTGCTGTTGTGAGCATGTGTGTGTCAGTGAGCTTGTCTGTAGTGACATGTGTGTGTTAGTGAGCTTGTCTGTAGTAAGCATCTTTGTGTATACCAGTGAGTTTGTCTGTAGTAAGCTTGCGTGTGTGTGTGTGTGTGTGTGTGTGTCAGAGAGTTTGGCCGTGCTAAGTTTGTGTGTACCTGTAAGCTTGTCTGTGTTTGTCAATGATCTTGTGTGGGTCAGTGAGATTGCCTGTATGTGAGCCTGTGTACCAGTGAACGTGTTTGCTTTTGGCAATGAGATTGTCTGTGCCTGCATGTGAGTATGCTTATTTTTACTAATATTTAAAATTAAAAAAGGAACATACCAATAATAAAAGTATATATTTATATATCCTTTAGTGAGAATTAAAATATCCCTTTATAACATTTAAAATATGGCTATGTCTTGCTACCCTAGATTGAGTAATTCTAATTTATAAACATAGATTTAAAATATAAAATCTATGAAAAAAAATACACAAACACAAACACGACCGTGGCGCAGTGACTTATGGGGCTGGCATACATTTTTTCCCAGGGCTGCTTTGCATTCCCAGTCCGGGCCTGGGTGGACCCGCCTATGTCTATGACTGGTGACACCCTCTATCCAGCCAGTCCACCAATCCCAATCTGCATGGCTCCCAATGTTGGAAGGTATGCACAACACACTGCAAGCAGCTCCCCTCCCAACACACGCACTCCCAGATGCAGAAATGCATTCCAGGCACTGTCACTGGTAGACATACACATAGGTATACACTCACAGATGCACACAGAAACTCACTACAAGACAAACACTCCAAAACTCCCAACTCCGGTGTCCAACAAATCAGGTGGGCAGATCCTCACAATTAACTGGCAAGTCAGCTTGACATAAATGCACGCCAAGCCTGCCAATCCCACAGACTGGCCACTTAGGACAGATCCTGCAGGGTCTAGTGCCCTGAACATTGTGCTAGCACATCTAATGATGCACATGCACTATGTTTGTTGGGGACAGTTTTCTGGTGTCATTGTGCAAACCAGCAACTGTTGCACAATGACATAACTCTCACAAATCTTAGGCAGACTAAGACACGTATATCATGGTGCTGCAATGATATTATGAATTTGAAAACATTATATGAAGATGATAGACAGACATACAGACAGAACAACAATTCCAACCCTGTTATTCATTAATTCCTCACTGTGAATTGCAGGGTTTGCAATGAGCAATGTCCCTCCAGGGATTATATGTTAAATATATTTAGTTATATATATATATACATACAAACATACTACAAACATACAAGCTCTCCTGGAATGCCAGGTTAGAGCCAATAAACCAAGAAAAATAGTTCTCACAGACTTGTCAGATTCTGCTATTTCTGATCCCACATATTCACCTATTTCTGGTACTGTGGGAACGAGAACTCTGGAAAATCCTCATAAAGTATTTATTTATAGACACATCTCTGGAGTTAAATCACATAACACAACATTCTGAAACGGGTGTCCTCTCTCAACTATGATAAAAGGTGCAAATAAATAGCTCCTCACTGATCGAATACTCCCATGAAATGGGCTACAGAAAGCAGGGAGTCAAAGTTGCTTAGTTGCTGCTTGGCAAATATGTTAATGAATGTATTTTAAAAAGTAATTGTATTTTTATTAGTTTACCTTGTAAAAATAAAAAAGTAAACACACACATATACTTATATATGAATATATATATATAATCAGCTGATCAGCATTCAACAAAAAAAGAAAATTTTAAATTTTCTATTGATATGTTTTTTTGTGATCTGCTCATTTTAAATAGTTGCAAAACTGCCATTATCTAAATCGGGAACCAGCCCCTCCCCCAAAGCAATAAAGGTATCCATCCAACACCTGATGATTGCCCTAGGGCAGGAGCAGCTAGGTCATCCCTGCCAATTTAGGAGGGAGTGGTCCTATTTTTTTTACCCAAATCCCCCTGTCCCTCTTTTCTATTCTAATATCCCTCTTTTTGGAGATCACTATTCCAAATGAGTGTATGGCAGAGACCCACAACAATAATACGCCCAGTAATGGGTATTTAAACTACAATACATTTGTTTATAAATCAGTATGTGCAAATAAGAAACATTGTTATGGTTTTAAATTATATTTTAGCTACATAAATTGTTATTAGTAAATCACTTAGAATTTCACAGAGCAGCCCTCCCTGGGCCACACCCCCACTCACACCCCTAAAATTAAAATGTCCCTTTTTTTCTATTTGAGATGTTGCAGGCAGACATATATTTGAACATTCGCTGATGCCAGGGAGCAAGAACAAGTGGGAAAATCAGGTCGTCATTAAAATTTTATGTTAATATATGAAAGTATTTATAAATGAGGGAGCAAGAACTGGCAATAAGAAGGAAAAAAAAAACACTGACAAAAACAGACTAAATGATTGGTGAATATAATATAATTTGCGATTTTTATAGCATTTTTCTCCCTGTGAGACTCAAAGCACTTTACAAATATACAAACATATAGACATAAAAGTTAGGAGTTTCTGAAGGTCAGCTGAGTGGACTGAATGCCTGATGGAAGAGGTGGGTCTTTAGCTTTTTTTAAAAAGTCTGTAAGGACGATGGCTCTCTGATTGCGCACGGTAAAGAGTTCCAGAAGGTAGGGGCAGCGTGGCTGAATGCGCTGGATCCTGAGTCTGTCTTTATGCTTGGCACTGACAGGAAAGATTTGCTGGTTGATCGAAGTGAACGGAATGGAATGTAGGGTGTCAGTAGCTCTTTCAGGTACTGAGGGCCTTGATTGTTTAAGGCTTTGAATGTTAGAAGGCCAATTTTAAAATCTATGAATTGAAAACATGGGTATTGGAACCACAGTTGGGCAAAAGATGGTAAGCAGGTCGTGTCTTAGAGTAATAAACACAGACATGAACATATTGCTTAATTTAATGTATACATTTCTTTAGGAAAAGTTATTGCCATGATCTATAGCATGGGTCCTCAAACTCCAGCCCCCCATATGTTGCTGAACTACAACTCCCATGATTCTTTGAATTACATAGATAGCCAGAGAATCATGGGGGTTGTAGTTCAGCAACATCTGGGTGGCCGGAGTTTGAGGACCCATGATCTAGAGTTACATAGCACACAATGTTATAGGCTGGGGACAAAAACTCAAACCCATCAATTTTGTTGATAAAAAAAAGGGCGAATAAACTAAATTGAAGCAATTTCCAATTTTTCCACAAAAAATAAATAAATCTTGTTGACTCCAGAATTAATCAGATTTCCTGTGGTTACATAAGCTGTTACCCCATATAGCGGTATTAATTATTATATCTTTCATGGGGATTTTCAGATTACATGTGGACAACAAAGGAAAATCATGCATGCACAAAACAAAATGCAGAGTAAGTAGGAATTCCTCCCATTTTAAATGAGTATGCAAGTCACAGCCTGATTGACAGGCTGAATGACAAATTACTGCAACAATCCCAGAGAATTGCTGTCATTTTCCTTAGACAACCTCTGACACAAAGGGGGTTTTACAGATAAAGCACATTTTTTTGAAGATAGTATGGAACAAGGTAAAAACGCTAAAAGCAATTAAACATATAGAAAACAGCCAGTCATTTAGACAATATAGCATTTTGATGATATCTCAAAACAGAGACTGGGTCAAATTTTTGATTTATTTGTTTCAAGGCCTTGTATCTTCAAGGCAACAAATTAACTGCAGCTACCAACACGAACCCGAGTCACTAGATAAGCAACCAAAAGACAGACAGCTAGAGTATAGGCTAATAATGAACACTATTCGGAGACTGTTAATAGGCTGTTTAACATTAAATTCACAAAAATCTTGTACAGAACAAAATCTTAATTATTGTAACATGTTTGTAATATGTTTCTCTCTCTGTGACAATGGGCAATAGCCAAGTTTAGAACTGACTGGGTTATTCATTAACATGGGAAATGCCCACATTTTAAAGGGAATTCAAAGCGAACTGTAGTTGTAGGCCAAAATAGCCAAAATTAAAATGTCGTTGAGTTGGAGAATATTTCCAGTTTGCCTATGAATTTGTACCATCTCATACTGAAAGAGCACTTTGAGAAAATTATGTTTAATAGTATTGAGCTGCTTAGATATGGCATAGAAAGCAGGACTATCACTCACACCCAACCACTTTCACATAAAAAAACAATAGCCGAGAAGGTCAGTGCTCCCAGGACCTAAACGCCTCATCATAACCTCTATAGCGCTTTCATGTGGGGTTGGGAAATTAATGGGCGACCCTTTGAAAAGGGATATGACCTTTGCAAGAGGATGTGCTATTCTTCAGTAGAAGCTGGGATAAAATATATCCTTTGTCACTAGGCAGCTATTAATTTTCCTGATCGTCAAAGCATCTACGAGGGGTGCAAAGGAGTTCCCACATTTATCAATTCATCTAGCCTAAGGGTTATGTAATGACTTCTGTAGCTAGAATGTTAATAAGTAATATTTTTTCCCTAAGACAAGTTCAAGTACCAATGGAGTACTTTTTTAAAAAAATTCTTTATTTCTGTAATTAATCAGATGAAATAAAGAACTTAAAAACAAAACATTGGGCCTGACATTGACCGTTAACATAATATTAACAAGAAACCAGATAACCAGTGATTACACTGGTAATGTTCATTGTTCATATTCCACAAATGGAAGGATGATCACATTCGTCATAATACCTTCAATATACAGATATCATAAGTGTTACAAAATAAATGCATAATTGCTAGCTATTTGCGCTTAGCAGACATCTTAGGTTGGGGGTGGGGGGGAGGGGGCTACCTCGCCCCATAGCAAGTTTCCCATCCTGAAGCTTGGCAGCTTGTGCCCCCAATGATGCTCGTGGTGCAACTGCAGCCTGGAATCAATGGTTCCTCAGTGACTGGTTTATAATCCTTATTAAGAAACAAAACAAAACTACAAGAAGATAAAAAAAAAATCAGCAAAGTCCTTCTCCAAAAGACATACTTTATGGAAAGCAAAGATCTAAGGGACACCGGTGCAAGGGCCTAATGTGCTACCCGAGCAAAAAAGGAATGGTGGGGTGGGGGATATTAAGGCTCTAGTAACAGAGGGGAAATCGAGAGAGAGAGAGAGATGAGGTTAAGGAGTAGAAAAGAGAGTAGTCTGAAGGAGTAGGGTCTGCCTATAATCTATTTTCATTAAGGCTAAAAAGAGACGTTGGATTTGTATTTCTATAAAAAAGTTGAATAATGATGTTAGTCCTTGAGTAACATCATCTCTACTATGGTTTTGTAGGATTTTCCCAGTGTTCTGCTGTTGTTCTTGTTGTTGTTAGTGCCACTTTTGACACCAATCAATTATGAGCGTGGGTAAGTTCCTCATAGGGTTTAGATAACAATCATATGTAGGTGTCCATGAAGATGTCTATGTGTAGGAGCCAGGTATCATTTGTGATGCCAGTAGCCATTCTGGTGCGATATTTGGGCATTCCCACCATAGGTGAATGTATGTGCTTAATGGGGTTCTTTTTGACAAAATGTCTGCTCTCTGAACTCCAAACAAAGAGATGAGTACAATGAAAAATAAAAAATAAATTATTTCAGGTATCCAATAAAAATGGATTGCCAAGAGGTGGTGAGTAACTATTCACTAAATCCCTATATTTATTTGCATTAATAGGATTTAAGTAGCCTTGTAAGATATTAAACTCTATTTTGTGTGTATGCTTTTTCCTTCATGTGTGTTTTGCATATAGTTATATTGTTCTTTATGGCGGCATTCCTATTAATAAACACTTGTTCTGAGTATGTCCCCCCCCACAATTAACATATTTCTGTGCATATATGAAGTCCAGATACCATTGGGTTGAACATCCCACCCCTTACTCCAGGTGCCGATTGGACAAGAAGGCATACATGAGTACTATTAAATTGGGCAAAAGTAACATCCCCAGGACGTACCTGGAAACTAAAGAAATCTGAATGTATTTTCCTGGTAAAACACTTTGTTATTAATATTTAAAGAAAGCTTCATAAATCTGTTTTATCAGTAAATTTAGCAGCGAGTATGTTTCTCTCCCATGTTAAGATTAGGACCTGTATCGGAACTGGGGTACTTTTGAGGTGTGATGGGCTTAAATACAGTATGGCCATATGGTGTGACTAAACTGCCATATTTATTTGTTAAAATATGTGATTTTAAGTAGCCTTGTAAAATATATAGATGGTACACTGCTTTAACTTAAAATCTCAAATGTAATAAAAAAAAAAAAACTAAAAAAAACTTCTCTAAATAATATTTATTTTACCATAAACCACCTAACATGTAGTACTTGATATTTGCAAGATCATGGTTTAATTTGAATGGCAGCATTTTAAGGAGCTGTGACAGTGACCAAATGGAAAGCATGGCATTGCAAATCAAATGGAGATGGTAGCATAGAATTTCCCTAAATGCAGGAAGAATACACACTGCTACTGAAAAAGGAAGACAAGTTGCATTTTGCTTGGTGACGAGTGGTTTTAATATCTATGGACGAAAGAATGTTGGCACAAAGTGAAGAAAATGTAGGGTTCTAGATCTCCGGAGAAATTAGACTTTAAAATTCTCCCAGGATCATTGTTATTGTTCTGTTTAATGTAAGTGCCTTGTATAGTAGACAAAGGACAAATTAAAAAACGTGACTTGTGTGTGACGTATCAATAAGAGGGGTTTCTGTGTGTAAAGAAAGGAGAGTCTGGAGTTGTTTGCAAGAGGAAACAGGAGAGAACTGGGCTTTATCAATGGAAGGGGGGATCTCAAAACAATCTCTGGGGGGTTACGGATGACTGTGTGCAAGGCCTCTCCCTTACTGATAGAGGGGAGGGGCTGCTGAGGATTAAATATTAACAGGTGCAGAGTGCAAGGCTGCAGGAGGAATCATCTGAAGACCTGAGGGGGGACAGAAAGGGGTTGAGGAAACGTGAACACAGAACTGTGGTTGAAGAGGAGAAACTAAAATCACAACAAATATACAGTATTAGAAATCACACAGACACGGCACAGAAGATACAAGAAGAACGGACAGATACATCTAAACAGAGGAGAACAAAGATATTGAATGGGAAGTGGTATACGGGAGAATGAGCAGTAATAGTGTAGCGAAGCATTGCAGGGCTCAGGAGGAGAAAAGAAACGGGCAACAGTGTAATAATTGGGCAATAAACTAGTTTTCAAAAAAGCATATTTAAAGGGTATTGTCAGTATTATTGAGCTTAAATAAGCACAGTGATAGATGGTAGACAGTGGAGTTTGCATATAATAGTATTGTAGGGGGTAGGCGATGGGCAGACATTTTCCAGATGAGGGAATGATGGCAAGTTATGTAGAGAGAGGGCACAGAATTGGGAATGAGAAAAGAAAGAGAGGGGGGTGGAAATACTCTTGTTCAAATCCTGAGAGTCCCTTCACAATAAAAGTGTCTCACAGGCAGTCACATGGCCTATTGTTGAATACTAAACACTTCACCAAGGAAGGGGCAGCGAGGGGGAGAGGAATAAGAAAGAAAAGGAAAGATAGATAGCCTGAAATTGTGAAAGAGCCGGAGAGAGAAAGGGGAATGGAGTGTGAGAGAGAGAGAGAGAAAGACATAGAGACAGGGAGACTAGACTAAAATACAGAGGACTGTAGCAATGAGGAATGCAATAAAAATACAAATATAAAAATTACTAAATACATTTAGAGGTTTTATCAGCCCACACGTGGCACTTATTAGTCTAATGATACAATGTACAGTTTTCTTTAATATATACAGTGACACAATATCCTCTTTTTTTCTTTTGTCAATTCACAAACTAACAATGCAAACTTAACTTCAACCTGATAGCATTTCTGGCTACAAATCACACTATGACAAATCAAAGAACATTGGTTTAACTATTTGTGTGCCGAGAAAGTGAACAATAAATTGCTCTTCCCTTCAATTTTTTTTTTTTTTGTCTCACTTATTTACGACCGGCCTGCAGCTTTGTCCATTAGTGATGTATGCACAGTTTTGACATATTGAAACAGAGAAGGACTGATGTTATGAAAAAACAAACACGCTTAGAGCTTACAATCTAAAGGGCATTCCAGTTCTCAAAGAGTTAAGGTTGAAGAACGGACTTTCCACCACGCCACCTTTTTATTATTTTTTTATACAACTAAATTTGATACCTGGCAGAGTTCTTAGTACCGCTCTGATTTTCGTTAATATACTAATTCATCCTACATATTATGTTGGTGTGATGTTCTTTTACTAATGTTAAACAGGGCAATGCGGCATACTGATATAGTGTAATTTTGGAGCAATATTCTATACATAGAGCAATTATAATGATCATTCCACTAGTTTATATGGTGTCTGTGCTACTTGTAGAATGTTAGCACCAAATTCCTCTTTATACATAACCCCCATTGTCCATTTTCTTGTTGCGTTAAACTGAATATTAACTTTGTGTTGTTTGCCAGGTAAACGCAATCTCACTAATCCTCTAGAATTGCAAAATTCCGAAAAAATACTGATTTGTGGAGAAGAGGTCATTACGGAAGGCTGATTGGAAAAAGAAAGCCAAGGAGTGGAGGGTGAGACAGCAGGGGTGCTGAGCAAGGGGTAACAAAGTCTGCAAGAAAGATTTCAAACAGCTTGAAGATTCAGGGTGCTGAGAGGCGGCATATATTGTCCATTTAAGATCATGTGGGCGTTTGTAGGACAGAAAGTAGAAAGGTTTGGTTTTTTTTTTCAAGCTTTCAAAATTCAATATATTGTGAGCGATCTTGGAAAAGATTCCATAAGTGGACCAATTTAGAGAATAAAATTGTTATCTCAGCATGTAAGTCTTGTGAGTGCTGCATACATGAATGACCACCTACCAAGATTGCTAAAGCCCCTATTTAACCGTTTCAATGTCTCCTTGAGCACAAAGGATTTTAAGCAAGAGCAGCCGTGTGTAATAATGAATTTTGTGCAGTTCTGCATTGTACCTTATCCTGTTTATTGTTTGAATACTTACATGTAATATGTTCTTTCAAAAACTCAGTAGGCTATTGCATTCTCTCAAATACTTTGAGAAAGGTTTCCGATATAAAGACAGTAATACATACAGCAGAAATTAAAGTGAGGGCTGAATCACTCAACATATTGAAAATATAATGCACTACATTTATTCTGTGCAATATCTTCTACACTGAGCACAATTATTTTGTGCAAAAAAACAAGCAGTTGCAATTTTTGACAATTTATATTTGTTGTAAATGAAGAATCCAAGCACAATAACCACTTCAGGGCTGTGTAGTCATTATGGTTCTAGGAGTGCCATGGTGCCCCCCAATATTAGTAGTCAAGCCATTTGCTAATGGTTGACAACTTACCAATGCTCTTAGCCAATGACCTGGCCCTGCACGGCAGGATTTTGCTCAGGAAAGCTAACGGAAGCTCCTAGTACGAGCTTCCAGCTCACCATGGAGGAGGTGACTGGCGCCTGGCGGTTTCAGTTAATAAGTCAGAATGCTAGCAAACAATTTGACTAATTACATTGGGGGCACAAGGGCACTCATGGCACCATGGTGCTTGAAATGTTGCTGTAAAGGACACTCCAACACCATAAATCATTTCAGCTTGCTCTAGTGCTTTAGAGGTTAAATGGTTGTGTCCTTTGTCTTGTTTTATTTTTTATAAAAAAGCAATTTTAAGAAAAATCTTCACTTTTATTGTCCCATTGGTAGCACCTTCCAGGTGTCATCCAGACAGCCAGGAGAGTTTATGAGGGCTTCTCATAGAAAGCATTACTGTAACAAACGTGTAGGAGTGGAACCGCTCTGGAATTGCTTCACTCAGCCACCGGTGAGTTTAGTAGTAAATCTTTTCTGGGGTCTCCAGAAGCACACCATCACAGGAAAATAAACAAGATGGAGAACCAAGGACTTAACAACAGGACTGTCAAATCAGATCTAGGGTAGTTGGCAGGTATGTGACACGGAGTAATGCGTTATTATTTAATTTGTAAAAAAACTAATCTTCAACTCTGTTACTGGCTACTTTGGCTTAAACTTTTCGGTTTCGATGTCTGCCATGAATAAACCCACTTAGAATCTTCGTCAGCATGTACATAGCAATGTACAACAGAAAGCAAGCTAGCAATTTCTTATATACTCCCTTCGCCAACACCTGCACAATGATGCCCTGAGCTAAACTAACATCACAGAAAACCCAGCATATCTAAAGAAACATTGCTAGTGTTTAACGCCTGTGTGGACCGCTGGTCACTTTGGAACCTCAGGCAACAGTTTAATTTTCGTGACTGTGTTTTAACCTTTCGAGAACTCATCCCCTCAGTGTTCCAAGGCTCAAACCTCAAGCAACTGAAGGGAAAAAATGTCTTGCATGGCTACTGGCTCATAAACAGTTAGTTTTACTAGCGTTAAAACTTGGGCACAATAGGTGTACAGTTATGCCATGCTTGGGTATTGAGTAAGGTTCTGAGATTTTTGAAGGCTGCAGCAGATAAGATCACACCTGGAGAAATGTGTCTTTGGGGGTGGGGATCGTGCATCTTTCTTTGTTGATAGAATGGGTCCTGCGTGTCTTTGTGGTGGAGAAGGGTGGTGTTTTGGAATGTGGGAATTTGCTGTGAAATAACAAAGCACACACTGCAGGTCTCAACCTGCTCACGAAACACCCACCTATCATATACAGTAACTACAAACTAGTGCTAAAACAAAGGCTAACACGAGGCTTGTTTTCGAGTTGGTATCACCAGCAAAGTGACTATCGAAGAAGGAATGGTCGTTTTTAGGTTCATTCAGGGCATGCAGCATCATGCAGTTGGAGAATTTCAGTGCTAAAAGATAATGTCGGAACAAAGAAAATGATCATGTTTATTTGCTGCCCATTAACACCTGCATCACATTTTGTGTCTCTGTACCCACCATGTTTTACTGGACACATTAATATCTGATGGCCTATACATAAAAAGTGCTGCTCTACAGTATGCAGCAGTCATGTGCTGCAGGAAGAAACTAACTTAACTAAGCCAGAGGGTTTCATTCCGAGTTCTCATTGATTAATTCATTGATTTCCCTCCTGCAACCTATTTAATATACTGTGGAATTCTGCACACTGGACAGAAAAGTACAGAAAAGGCTGTGTTTACATTGGTGCCTAGCCTAGGAACACCTCTAGTGGCAGACACTAAGACGGCCACTAGAGGTGCTTCTTGTGCCACTGCTGCACAGAGGCACTGAAAGTTCTCCATTGGGATGCATTGATTCTATGCATCTCTTTGAGGAGATGATTGGCGCAGTGTTGCTTTGCTTTGCTACAGGAAAACATTGGATTGGCTGCAAAACTGCTGATATCAGCCACAGAGGCGGGTGATCTAAGAGGGACCTGTGACCTAAACAGCCACACAGGCACTGGATACAGATAAAACTGAAACCTTTTTATTTATTTATTTATTAGACATATCACATAAGGGCTGACAATTCCACCATGTTTACTGAGAGGCAGTGCATGAAAAGTGTTGCCCTTTATTGTACGTAGCTTTAAAAAGTGTTAGCCATCAACACGAATGGAATATGCATGTCCAGAAAACATGATGGATACGGCAATCACATTCAAAGGTGTAACTGGTCATGTGTCCAGATGCATAAGTAATGAGTACAAAAAAAATAATTATAATAATGATACAATAAATAAAATAAGGGTTGTGACATTCCGAGTTATAGTGAAACACCGCAAATCTATTTGAACAATGCTTAGCCCTATAAGGGGAATGCTATGTTTATGACATCATTACAGAGCTTAACGACAGTTTGATATTTTTATTATTAAATAAATGTTCTGTTAAACTTGCATGTAGTTACTTGCCTTCAAAAATCCTAACGCTTGCAAATATTGTACTAGAGTTGTGCATAAATACATCATATTTCGTGTCCATTTAAAGGGTATATGTTGATAAAATACAAATGAACGAATTAATGATCTAATGAATGATCAAATTAAGCCTTGTAGTTAGGATCTAAATAACATAGAAGATGGTGGCCATATGCAACAGCCTTCCAGAAGAAGTAATGAAGACACATCCAGTAAGGAATGCATCTGGTATCATAATTGTTCAGTCCAATGTAAGAGATTTAAACTAAAAATTAAAAGAAGCAGTCAAACCCTAACATAATACCAATAAATATAGAGTTGAATAAGGAGATACAACGATACTGCCTCTTTAATTTATCTCTTGCTACCAGATGCAATTTTCTAACACATATAGAGGATTCTGGGGTGAATATGTTTATGTAGGCTGGCTGAATGTAATGGGTAATGCAGTTGTCAAGCCGACGATCACTGATCTACCCAATGAAATCATACCGAGCTTTTTTATAAACAAACTTTTAAGAAAAAAATACTCATTACGTGAAAGTGATTACATTTCACGTATTACAGATGATTATATTTCCATTTAATTTATAAATAGCTATAAAGATTTCCATTAACAACAACAAAAAGGAAACATGGGAAAAATATAAAATGTATCAAAGTAATCACATTTAGACATAAGAGAGAGAGGCTGCAGGATGATTTGGGCAGATAAGCCAATTTATTGTCTTGGGTTGCATTATCAATAACAACATCTCACAAGGCCAGAAATGCATTAAGAACTTTGTAAATGGCCAATAAAAATAACTACTAAAATAGACCCTGGATTTACCACATCCATTGTGTCAATAAAGACAAGGACTTTGGTAGACACTTAGAGAATCTCAGGGTTTGACCAGGCCATGCAACATACCACATACCTCCCAACATTTTTAATGTACAAAGAGGGATATTAGGATTGAAAAGAGGGAGGAGGGATGTGTGCCCAAAATAGGGACAGTCTCTCCTAAAAACACTTGGCAGGTATGCAGCATTAAATCTCAAATAACTGGGCGAATTTGACAATTATCACAACCACACACTCAGAGAGTTTCTGATAAAGGGATTCTAGGCCCTGAAAAAGTGAGACTCAGCCCCCTTGCTTTTTCCTTATTGATATGTCAAAAGTAAAATGGATATTCTAGGCACCAACACAACTGAAGCACATTTAATAGGTTTCAGCTTCATACTCATGTTGTACTTTTCTCCAACTTCAAATCTATTTTTGCTATTTTATATATATATACATATATATTTTTTTGCAGCTTTCTGAATACATTTCTTAGCTATGCCTCCATTCTTCACAAAATGTCTTCCTGGTTAAAAACATGTGCAGCACATGTACTCAGTTCAACGAATGAAAGATGAGTGTAAACTGAGATGATTGCCTCACAGCCAATCAATGTATTCTTATTATCTGTCCATCACCCTCTCAGTACCGGGAAGCTAGCTTTCAAAGCCAAAGTGGCAGAGAATAGAGGACAGTGATTGGCTGTGGGGTGGAGTCATGTCAGCGGACCAGCTCACATTGTTCGCTCACAGTCTGAACTTTGTAAACATGCACTAAAGTTGAGGCGAAAGCAGAAAGGCGTTTTATGAAAATAGGGGCATGGCTAAGGTGCAGGGTTAAGATACAGAGTATTTATTTTTCGCAAAACTAAAGAATTTGCAATGTTCAGAAAAACTCAGCATGAATATGAGGTTAAAAACTATCAAATGCACTTGAGATTTGTTAGTCCCTCAGAGTGTTCCTTTAAGTATTAATGGACATCAATTCCTATTGATGATGTAATGTTCTGCATTGGTTCAATGATACATTCACTGAATAAGCTTATTTGGTGAAATGTGTGAGATTAGTTGCCTCTGCTTGCATACATAGTATTTACTTGATGCGTTGATTTTAAGAAGGCTGAATAGAGGTTTACTTTTAGACTACCGGTGAGTCTTTTGTCTACTGTTATTTAAAGAGCTGGCAGAGCAACACAAAGTTTTTCCTTTCCAGCCTCCCAAATTGTGTTGTTTGAATAGAACACATGCAACAGGGGAAGCTCTTAAATTCAAGTGAATTAAATGGACACTATAGGCACTGTAACGTCATCTGTGGTTATAGTGCCTGGGGTCCCCTGGCTCTGGCCTTCCATTCAGCTTTCAAACACTTTTAATATTTTAGTGCTAAACAAGAGTCCCCAGCAGCCCACCCCCTCTGTGCTGCTTGGGCTATTGAGATGCATTAGCCTGAGCAGGAATGGGTGACTGTATTCCCGGGTTAATGGATAACCCAGGAATTGGCTGAGCATGGATTAGCTGTGCATGTCAGCTGACTGCTTTCAGCCTATGACAGTGCCACAATGCTGGTATGAATTGGTATGGCTAGAAGGTGTGTAATATCTGCCAAAGTCATACTTCCAGTGGAGGCGGGCTCTGGGTGGCCAGGAACCCTTATTTAGTGTGGAACTGCTCAAAAATGGTTTAACACTGAACAAAGGCGCAGTGCCAGTGGACAAATTCAATGAGACAAAATGGTTATTAGTGTTTACACTTGTTGCACCTCCGGCACATATGACTTAGGCAGACTGGAACTTTATCCATACTGGATACATCAGGGCGCACTGCTTGCTGGCAACAGGCATAATCATATTTTACTCCTCTTTCTGGCTAGAGCCGGGGACAACAGTCCAATCAAAAGCATTTATTGCGAGGGAGGCAGTGACATCAAACAAGGGGTGGAAACCAGCGCGGAGATGCGGGGAGCTTCGCCCAGTGCTGGCTTCCAGATCAGATTAAACCTTATTTTACAGTTCTACAAAGTGGTGCTAATTGCTAATGCCCAGTAAGGCATTCTAGATTAAAATACATTTATTTAAAAAGGGTTGGAGTAACACTTTACATTTTGGCAAGTCCATTCCCACAAAAACTAGTATTACAACCATGTATTTGTTACAACTGACATGCCACTACAGAGAACCTAATGATGGGTCATTATAGCTTGTTCAAATAGTTAAGATGATTCCCAGGTATGAGGAGAGGGAATTGTCAGAACAAGCAGTCACGATAAAGTTGAATTAGAAAAGAAGAGATGCGAGATTCCTGGTAAAGGTGGTAATCCATTATTTGGAAAGAGCCTCAATGTTGACTCCCAAACAAAATAAAATGCAAAATTACTGAAAGAGATTGGGTAGACTAAACAGGCAAAGATATTTTCATAAGCTAAAATATTATGTTTTTTTTGTTTAAAACTTTCTTAAATCAGGGTGTTTTACTAAACTTACAAATGAAACCGAATTAAATTGTGAATGACAAAATTGAGGTTACAATATTTTGAAATTAGAGTTAGTATGTAAGTCAGAATTGCAAATGTCATATGTATTATTGAACCTCTGAAACCATTACAATATCTCCACACAATTAGACCCTAATATGTACAAATATTTAGGGTTATCCACTAACCCAGGAATTCAGTCGAAGTAGTCGAACTGTAAAAAGAATTGAGTTTAAAAGTTTGTCCATATCGTGAAAGCGCACACCAAGTAGAACTATAAATAATAAATATTACACTTTCTTGTTATGGGTAATTCGAGTGTACCCATTACCCATTACAAGAAATGGTGATATTTATCATTTATCTTTCTAATTTGTGTGTGCTTTCACTTTTATGTATTTTTGTAATTATTTGTATTTTTGTGAGTTTTTAATGATTAATTCACTGGTGATTTAGCTGCACCATCATTCCATCTAGCGCCAGACTAAATGACCTTTTTTTGAGTTTCTCCATCTCGATGTTGGCCTAAAATTTGCAGTGATTGAATCAGTTCTTCTAAATTTCCATTTTGGTGAATAACCCAGGTTATCGTACTATTTAAATCCAAGCCCTAATTTGCTGAGTAAATTATGAGAATTAATGTCTTAATTAGCCATGTGTAATCATTACCTCTGTGTACTATAGCAAGTACATGTTAAATAGACAAAGTAATAACAAAAGTTTGTAATTTATGCTACTCCTGTATTTGCAGTAGAAAGAAAATGTGATGAGTACTTCCCGCACCACAAAATTCATCATAAATAGTATACCCTTAATATCAACAAACAGCAAATGCGACATACTCCCAAATTATTTGGATGACAACTCCCATGACCCAAAGCCGTCACCCTAACACAATATTATATTCATACAATGCAAGATGTGCTGCCATAGCATTGTTGCCCTACATCTGGTGACACCATACGCTTTTTTCAAAGGCTGGCTAAGAGTGATAGAATTTGTAATAATGCGTTGCTTTTTTAATTTAGATGAATGGGCTAACCAGCAGAATCTTGTGCAGTCATCTTCGGTGCAAATAAATTAAGGGAATTATGATAGTCTCTATGGAAAAGAAGAGCGTCTGCATCTGGTTAAGCGTCATGGGCTTTTAATTCTACAAAAACTGGACAGTGATATGTTGACTGCCATTGATTTATAGAATACACTCTCTATTGAATTATCCAGTTATGGACCAATAACACTTCATTCTGTCATCGCAATCTGGTCCAATATACCCTACATTGGAAGTTCTATACTGAACTGCTATTGATAATTAGTGGGATGTACCCTTTTTACAATAGAAGTATACCATCACTTAAAGGAGTAATTAAATACATGCAGTCCTAGCTGTAGCCCAAGAATTTCCAGAAGGAGGCATTAGCTTAGACCTGTTTGACATGTAAATCAATATAATGCCCTTTTCAAAAAGCAGTCAATATAATGCTAGTCCAAAGACTATCATTTTACAGCCCAGTTAGCTGAATTTAATTATGTAAACTAGGAATAGTGAAGTGGCAAAGAAATTGGAGATTTTAGGTTCAGAATGCTAGATTGGAAAATAAAATACAACTCAGCTATTTTTCAAAATGTGCTATTCACTTATTACATCCAAGTTTCTTATTTAGTGAGTAAACAACAATTTATGTCTTATAATGATAGCATATCTCCATACCAACCATGTGTTAGACACATATTACCCTAGAGATGAATTTTAGTTGAATTATTGATGTTTTCACAATTTCATTATCATAACAGGTGCAAAATGATTTCAAATTAAGATTTAGAATTTCCCACTCTGAAGCATCTCATATAGATATCCTAATGGTTGTTAGAGCTCATAGCTGTGATGGGGACTGTACTGTAAGCCACATGCCCTTCTCCTCTGTACACAAGCCAACACTGCCTCTTCACAGCCACATATTTTGCACATCTGTGTACATGCCAATTCCCCACCCCTCTGTAAATAACCAAATATTCGAATCTTTACAAACATTGCAACATTCCAGCAATCTGTTCATTCATATGCTTATACCATTCTCATCATATGCCAAAGAGTACCAAAAAATTATCTGGAATGTGTCCCAAATATCCCACACATCTATATCCCCCAAGACACTCCTAGATAAAAATTCAAACCATGATCCCCACCCAGTATAAACCCAAATCCCCATTCTTTATTGATATGTGTGGGGGTGTACAAATAGATTTTTGTTACTGTATGTGTCTACACAATTATCCTTTTGCTTTTTTTTTAATTTTTTATCCAAGGGACTGCAACCCCCTGCTGTGTGTTATCTGTGTATGGAGGACTGCTGTAAATGTGAACCTAATTCAGAATGATACACAGTTGCAGTCAATCAGCAAGTGTCCTCAATGTGATAGATAGTAATGTATGTCACTACATGACAGTGTGAGTGGTCCACAGGGTGACAGACAGTAGTGTGTGCCCCTTAGTAACACAATGCAGAGAAAGAGTGATAAAAAAAGGAGATTTTGTATCAAGGTGAAGATAATGAGTGACTGCAGAGTACAACTTAACGACAGAGTGTGAGTGTGCACTCACCTGGCAGCAAAGCTAACAGTAGGAGCAGATCCATGTTGGCAGGAGAAGGGCAGAGACTGCTGCTGGAATGGGTGTGTGCCCTCCTGGGTGTCTCGGGTAGGAGTGCCCACTCAGCGATGTCTCAGTAGCACACTGCAGGTGTCCTGGATGCCAGGATGGTCACTTTATCATCCAGATTCTATTTGGAATTTCCCTAATTTTCCAATTTCTTGTTCTCCTCTTTTCCCAGCTGATACTATCCAGGGGTCACAGTCTCAGTGCACCGGCTCCACTGAGGGAATAAAAGGACAGAGAATAGGATACCCCTACCAACTGTGAGACACCTCCCACTGCCAGAGAGACACCCCCACTGTCTGAAAGACACCCCCACTGCCAGAAAAAGTCCTCCCACTACATGAGAGAGACGCCCCCACTGCCTGATAGACACCACCCCACCGCCACAGAAAGTCTTCCCACTGCCTAAGAGAGACAACTCCACTGTATGAGAGACACCCCCACTGCCAGAGAAAATCCTCCCTTTGCCTGAGAGAGACACATCCACTGCCTGCGAGACACCCACATTGACAGAGGAAGTCCTCCCATTGTCAGAGAGACACCCCCACTTCCAAAGAGTAACCTCCTACCTTGTAAGAGACACCCCCACTGCCAGCGAACGTCCTCCCGGTGGACTAACTAGCCCTTCTATTGTGTGATATGCCCCTGGCTCAGAGATACAGATACATTGTATAGACAGAGTGATGCTGTCACTTTTCTTTAATACCACGTTCCAGCTCCTTATTTAGTGACCAGGAACCCCTCACACTGTCTGGGAAGAACTGCTAAATGAGAGACCCCCCTAAGTAATATTTCTATTAAAGGAAATATGGGTCCCACCAGAAAGGGGCAAGTCTTTCCTCTAACCCCGAGAGCTGCTTCAATTGTATGATGTGTGTTTTTAAATAAAAACTGTTTTTGTTTTTTTTTAACAACTATTTCAATCTGTATTGGCACAGTGTGTTTCGTATTTACTATGGAGTCCTCTGGTGACAGAAACAGACATAGGGTGCCCCCTGCTGTACTAACTCCGTCCGTTCACCAGGAATGGAGAGACCCTGTTCTTCTTGAGGTTTTACAGGCTGTAAATGATGGGAGTTATAGTCCACACATCTTCATTACAGGTTTCTCTAACTTACGGTTAACCATAATAACCCTCTTCCGTCCACAAGTCTTCTATAGTCCTGAGCCCCCTAAACTTAAAGTTATTTAACACTAAGTCCCCGTTAACTAAAAGGGGGACAAAAATAGGGTTTACATTTATTTCATTTATATGAAAAATCTTTCCTTCCAAGATCCAGAAACTGTACAGCTAACAGTAACTTACTGAAAATGTTGGCAGTACCAGTGTTGCATTGGGAATAACATTAAGTGCATTTACCTCTCAGTGCTTCCCACTCCAAGCTAGACACACCAAGCCCTCTGATAAACCCTCTCCCCATCTTCTGTAGTATAGTTGTATTTGTAACTATAAGATTTTTCATGTTGTTTTTTTTTTTTTTGCACAGTTTATTTGTGTAGCGAGGAAGCGTGTGTAAACTTTTGGGTTGTGTTTTTTTACCGAAGCATTTGTGTGCATGTGAGGATGTATCTGTCTAATATAACCGGATGTGAATGTCATGTGAATTTGTGTAGCATTGGTGCAGGTGTGTATTTGTGTAGCGTTGCATTGCGTGTGTGTGTGTGAATATGTTTACTTGTCGTATTGTTGCAATGTTTGTGTGTGAATGTGATATTTGTGTAGCATTATACTGTGTAAATTGGGGTGTATTTATGTAGTGTGGTAGTATGTGTGCATTTGGGTGTTTATATGTGCAGCGTTGCAGTGCTTGTGTTTAAATGTGAAATTTGTGTAGCGTAGAATGTGTGAATGTGGGGAGGTATTTGTGTGACAGTATGTGTACATAAGGGGTGTGTGCAGAGCCGGACTGGGAAAAAAATTCGGCCCGGGCATTTTTTTTATCACAGCAGCCCACTAAGAAGAGGGCGGGGCGGAGGAGGTGTGTTTTGTCATCACTAATGACAAAGACGACACTTCTCAAAGTGAGCATGTTGGTTCAATGCTCTTCCAGGGCAGACCATGCACAGAACTCTGCTGAAGAGGTCTAGCATGAGAAAAAAGCCCTGTATTTGTTCTGCACAGTGCAAGCAAATTTAATAACATGCTTGCACTGTTTCCTTGCAACTTGTCTCTGGTGTCTCTATAAATGGATACCAGGAGATAAAAATGCCAGGAAAGAGTATTGTGCATGTGTTTGGAGCCTGCTTGTGGTATTGCGTGTGTGTAGAGTGAGCTGATTGTGGTGTTGTATTGGGTAATTAGTCATGTTGTGTTTGTGGTGTAATGTGATGCATATGCGGCTAGGGGCTGTAGAGAATGTGTGTATAGGGGATGTAGCAAGTGTGTGCATACAGGCTATAGTATGTGTGTGTGTGTGTGTGTGTATATAGGTGATGCAGTGTTTGTAGAAAGTGTGTGTTTAGGGGTGTAGTATGTGTTTGCTTACAAGGAATCTAGTGTGTGTATACTGGATCCAGAGTGTGTATGTTAGGAGTGTAGTGTGTGTGTGTATATTTATATATATATATATATATATATATATATATATATATGTATATGAGTCTAGTGTGTGTTTGAAGAATGTGTATAGGAGATCTAGTGAGTGTGCGTATATAACGGATTCAGTGTATCTAGTGTGTGTATGTGTGTAGATGATCCAGAGTTGGGTAAGGCATATAGTGTGTGTCTGGAATGTAATGTGTTTAGGAGTGCAGTATGTGTGTGAGGGGTGCTGTGTATATATATATATATGTTTGGAAGTATTGTGTATGTGTGTGGTGCAGTGTGTTGGGGGGGTTCTGTGTGTATGTGTGTGAGTGCTGAGTGTGATGTGTGTGAGAGTGCTGTGTGTAATGTTGCAGTGTGTGAATGTAGGGATGTATGAGGGTAGTAGTGGTGTGTATGAGTGAATGTTGGGTTGTATTTTTGTAGAGTTGCACAAATAATGTTAATGTTGCATGTATATTTAAAGGTTTGGCACCAGAGACAGAAGTAAATGATAGCGGGCTTGTGGACAGATCAGTGAGTCGCTCATTTCCTGATAGCTAGTCTAGGACTGGGTACATCCCTACCTTACCACTGATCAGGACCGTCTGATTTTAGTCTATGCCAGTGTTAATTTTGTCGACTAACACCTTTTTGAAAATTTAGTTGACTAAAACTAGGTTAAAACTAAAACAATTCAGATGACTAAAATACGACTAAAACTAAAATCGCCTTTTAGTTAAAAGACTATGACTAAAACTAAATTTAAATTTGCCACTAAACACTGGTCTGGGGGCGTGGCTAGCTGAGACACAGAGCAGATGTCCATGTGTGGTACTCCTGCTCTACTCACCGAAAAGAGGCCTTTTTGCCGCTAACAGAACCTCAAATGAGAACCTACAGACTCCCTAATGCCCCCCCCAAAGTGCAATGGGGCGCAAACATAAAAACAAAATGCTCACCCAGAGAGTGTAAATTACCCAGACATCGCACTATCCTTCAGCCGACCCCAGGCCCGAAACAAAATGGCGCCAGGGAGGCCACATGGCTCAAGCGACTAAAGCGATATCATGGACAACAAGAGATCACCATAAACCACCAGTGGAGTATACCTAATGGTAGACTCAGACTCTTCTCCCTCTATGAATGGGGACATCAAAAAACTCCTCCAGGATCTGAGAGCAGTTTGGGAAGCAGACCTAGCAGGGGTGTAGACAGAAATTGTCAGGCTGCGGCAGCGAATTGGGGAAGTGGAGTCCAGAGAGGAAACCTGCGAGCAGCGTCTGACAGACACCCACTCCCAAGTGGACACCCTCACACAACAGGCCCAAACCCTCTCCCGTACGGTGGCATCGTTTGAAGCAAGACACTGCCGTAAAAATGTCAGGATCTGAGATGTGCCTGAAATAGTGGGTCCAGAGGCTCTACTGGACTTCGACACAGGCATTGGAGGTGAGAGGGGCAGGAGACTCACCACTCTTTGTGGCAGCCTTCAGTATAAGGAAGGCACCGAACGGCCCAGTGGACACACCCAGAGACATCATTGCAGTGAAATCGGCTATAATGGCCTGTTCCAGGAAATACCCCAGCGTAAATGTAGACAACTGCAGGATTACAAAAACTGAACACTGGTCTAGGCAAACCGATCTTATTCCATAAACACCAGTCCAATAGCGGTTAATGGGATAAGTAGTTTATCCCTCAGGCACAGATCCTCTGATTACATTGGATAAGTTGGACTCCTTTAAAAGCAGATGGCAGCCATAGTGTGGTGGCTATCAATTTATACACAGACCAGTTTCCTGCTTTAAGATGTCCGGGGTGCTGTCTATTTATTGCAGTGATTATTACAAGTCGTTGCAGTCCAAGGCCACTCTAAAAGCTAAAAGTGAATGCAGGGTAGTTTCTGCATCCAGGAAATGCAATAATGTAAAGTATTGATGGTGCTTAGATTGATGCCCTAAGTCTTTATGGCTATATCACCCTAACACAAAGTCTTCTTTTAAAGTCTTTAGTTTTAAATCATGCTTGTGCCTCTCATGAAGAAGGTGATCAGATACTGGTTGACCCTAGGTAAGCAAATTATTTGACTATTTACATTGGGGGTGGGGGGAGGGTGGCACCAGGGCACTCCTGGCACCGTAGCCACTAGAGTGTGCTGTAGTGATTATGGTACCTGTTGTAAATTTTGTAATCATTCAAAATCAGTTTAAATCAATTTTTTCTTGCTCATCAGCACCTGGTAAAATGCTATACCCAGATAATGAAAAACATGCATAACTGTCACCTACTAGTGTCGTAACTAACACGAACAATGACTTAATGGGCAGAAGTGCATAATTTACTTAGATGCTGATATTGCTGGATTAAAGTACATCAGAGATTTGGAGCACTGCTCACAGCATTGCCAGGAATGCCCGCCTAGTTGCAAATAATAGAACAAAGGCTGGCACACAAACTGCAAATTACGTATCCATGATGTGTTTGTTTTTTTCTCTATCTTATGACTAAATTCCCAGAAAATTGTTCGTCAGACAGGACTTTGATTTTACACATATTTATACATATAGATCCATTGTACTCTTGGCAGAATGTACTGTCACTTTATAAATAAATTTAAGAAGTTTGTATATAAGTTTGGCTTATTTGTATGTGTGTTTGTATGTATTGTGTATTGTTAGTATGTGAATTAAGGGGAGTTTATATAAAATTATGGCGTGTTTGTACGTATTGTGAAGTGTTGGTATGTGAATGAAGGTATGTTTGTATAGAATGTTTGTATGTGTGTTTGTATGCACTGTTTGTGTTTGCAGGGCTGTTTTTGTATGTTGTGTTGGTGTTTCATTGCTGAGAT